CCACTTCAACATATAAATACAAGAACACACACTCACACATACTTGTATTTATGCATTTTGTGGACCAGCAAAATGTCCCCACAATGTGGACATATCCAGCCACTACAGGTTAAAGTCAACATGTGTCCACTTCAACATATAAACACAAGAACACACACTCGCATACATACACACACACACACACACACACACACACACACACACACAAGGCTGAAACACAATACGTCTGCTATATTGTTACATTAGATGTGGTGGGTCATAAAATAAAGGAAGGGTGTCCCACTCTGTGTGTGTGTTTGTGTGTGGTATACAGTCTAAACCTGAAATTTTATTTTATCCTTTTAATTTTTCTGTTTTGTATTTTATTGCTACATTCATGTAATTACTCATTTCTATCTCATCAAATAAATGCATTTAAAAAGAAAACGCCTTTAAACGTGTAATGTTGCAGTTTTATTAACAATGTTTGTCTAAGGTGATTATGTGGCCCTCACACCCTGTATGAATCCATGCAGGACACAGAAAACTACAAACTTTCTGTTGAAACACATGTTGTAGTTGAGCTTGTTGTTATACTTCCTTTATTGACCACAAGTTCCTTTTACTGTGACATCAGCTGTGATTCAACGTGCCCTCTCATTATGCCCTTCCTCAGCAACAGCTACGTTCTGCCCAACACGCTAGCTTCTTTCCCTACAGCTTGTGATGGTGGTTGCTCTTCCAGCTCATGCTTTTAAAGTAGGGGTGGTTTTTGCTGACTGTCATTAAATTTATAAGTATATAACATATATATCAACATATATAAAGTTAAAAGATTTGTAAAACTGTTTAATTTACTGGTCACTAATTTAGCCTTACATGTCATCCTGTGTAGAAATATGGGGATAAACCTTTAAAACACTTTAAAGTAAAATAAACTTTACGAAAAAGCCATTTGAGTTCTAGTGATGGGATTTATGGCTCTTTCATGGGAGCCATTCATTAGTCGGCCGTTTACCTCAAAGAGCCGTGCAAAAGACTGGCTCCTTTGAACAACGTGAAACCAAGAGAGTGGGGGGGGGGCATTTGATCCTTTTCTATATGTATATAAACACATGTTTATATACATATCTATGGTTCCTCCTACGTCCGTCACAGCAGTGGGTGAGGTTTGAGCGGGTGGGTTTGACCGACTTACGGGGAGATTGGTTAAGATGAACGGCTCTCTACGGGGACTCGGCTCTCATCATTCTCTTTGAAAACCCGTTCAAAAGATTCGATTCGTTCGTGAAAGTCACATCACTATTGAGTTGTAACCATGAGTACTCGCTGTGCTCAAACTGATCCGTTGCTTCTAAAACTGCAGTTTATGAAAGGAGAAGATATTACTATAAAATTATGCAAATTATGTTTAGAGCAAATGTGTTGTCACTCCCTGACAAAGTATGTTTTTTCATGAGTGAGAGTTGGTATGATCTGAGAGGTTTTTGTAGGTTTATGGCACCAAAAGCTAAGAAAGGGATTAGAAGGAGATTTATATCACATTTTTAATGATGCTAAACTAGAATTCCAAACAGAAACTTTACTTTTAGTTTTTAGTGTACTTGTCAATAAAAATATCTTTGTAAGGTATTGATTTGTCTCTTGTGTGTGTTTATCATTCGTTTATAGTCACATTGAGGGAAGATAATATTTGATTAGTACATAGATTACTATTATTAATAGTATAAGCTTTTGCTTCCGCCTAAACCAGAGGTCGGCAGCCCGCGGGCGGCTCCTTCATCCATCTGATGCAGCTCCCTGCTTGTGAAACGATGAATGAATATAAAATGGATTTTATTTTACTGCTTGAATTTTTTATCTGTATGCCAATTCTAAATGTAGAGATTATGTGAGAGGTCTCACATGAGACCGGGTTGACGGGTCACCTGTAGGGTTGTCACGGTAACCGGTTTAGCAGTAAACCCCGGTAAAAAAATTGACAAAAATAATAACCGTCTTGTTTTTAAAAAATATATATTATCTCGGTGGATTACTGTGGCTGCGGTGTAGGCGCAGTGACCCTTAAGCTTGGTTTATGCTTGACGCATTCACTTTCCGCGCGGTGATGCGGCTCGCGGCTGGAACGCGCTTCACAACTCGCAGCGTTTATGGTTTGTGCGGCTTGTCTCTGTGGTGAGTCAATATTCTCCCAAACTGTTGGGGGCAGCATGGAGCTCTACAGCATGCATCCAACACTACACAATAGTAGAAGTAGAAATCACTGTTTACAACATGGTATTTCAGCATTTTTAACAGCGTTCTCGTCTTTTCCGACAGTGCGAGCTATTTCTCTCCAAGAATTATTAACAACATGTTGATCACGGTGATCTCTGAGAGCTGAATCATACAAATGTCTGTATTTACGAACCTCTGCCATGCCGGTCCGCCATGTTTTTCCGCGTCCGACCATCCGCGTGGTTAGAAATTTTCCGAGGTGCGCGTTGCGGAAATCTTGGGCCGTGCGGAGACGCGGTGGAGGGGTGTGGTTGTTAAAATGACGCAAAATGACGCAACTTTTCCGCGCGGAGCCGTGCGGACCTCGCGGGCGCGTCAAGCATAAACCAACCTTTACCAGCCACCGTATCATCTGCTGAAGTTGTCGGCAGCACATGCGCACTTTGTTGTTTACAACCAAAACTTTCTTGAAGCTAAAGCTGAAATAATGGCCAAAGGAGGAGACGGCAGCGCTCAGGACATTTATTATCCCTCAAAGAAGACAAAGTGGGAAGTATGGGCATGTTTTGGATATTTGAAGAATGCCGAGGGACAGTTGATAGAAGACGGCTATCCTGTTTGCAGCAGGTGCAGAAAAAGTGTCTGTGAAAGGCAGCAACGCTTCAAATCTCATGACACATCTGTGTGACCATCACCCACAACTCTACAGTCAACGCAAGGCAAGCTAACGTTAGCGTTTTAGCTAAAATGCGTGATCCGAGGATTTGGGTTGAGGGAGAATGCAACGAGTCGCTATATAAAGCAGCCGCAGCGCCGCTACCTGCATATAAACCGTGTCACGGACACCCCCATGTTGAAATGGCGCTATGCATTACGGGGCTCCCAGGGCCAGATAAGAGTTGGTCTCTCTCCGAGAATAATTATGAATTTAACAACGATTACTGCCTGATGACATTTTCCCACATCTGCAAAGCTCACTGGAAGGACACAAACCGAGGACAATATTTTCCTGATATAGGGTTTATTACTCAAGTAAGGGTAAAAAAGTATCTGATTAGAAGGCTACTTGAGTACTGAGTATCATCTGGTCTAATATTTTTAAAATGATGACATCAAACAGACAAAAAATAAGAAGTTATGGGCAAATATTGGTATTTGAAAGACTAAAGGGGAAAAATGTAAACAAATAACATAATTACAAAATAACACATTTTAGGCTAAATTTAGACACAAACTGAGGACAATATTTCCTGACATACAGGGTTTATGTAGTTGTCTGAAAATGTAACACGTTTAAAAAAATACCGCGACAATACCGAAAACCGTGGTAATTTGGGTCACAATAACCGTGAGGTTAAATTTTCACATCGTGACAACCCTAGTCACCTGCTTGTTTGCAATCAGACGTCTCTGCAGGAGCTTTCTGAGCTGAAGAGGATGTGAGATTCTGGACTTTTCCTCTGACACACTCATGGATGTGTCGCCATTAGACAGGAAGAAGCGCTACTCAGCCAAAGTTTCATCATCAGGAACATTTTCTAAGTGACAAGTCTCTGAGAGACCGGGTTTGGACACACTCGCTTCAGTGAGAGGAACCTTCCTGCGTGGTTCTGGTTCTGCTGCTGCCTGTGACCAACGCTCTCCAAGCCCCCCTCCACATCTTCAGATCGCTGTCCACCTTATGTATGCGCTGACAGCGAGCCGCGCTGGGCCCAGTGTCCAGCTCAGATGTTCTGATGGGAAACATCAAACTTGACTGACACCAGAGCCACGTGCACTGTGCCGTTATCTCCGTCTCTGTAAACAAGGGGAAAACTGATCAATCGCATCCTTTTGTTTAATGTAAAGTTTAGTTCTGAACAAAGTTTAGTTGCAACAGTCCAACGAGACAGCCTGGATTTGTGTTCTGAACAGTTTAAACACGTTTTAAAAGGAGACGTGTGTGACGCGGTAAAAAGCTGCACCTGCTTAACTATTAACACCGCTAACAGGGTGAAAATGTCTAAATATTGTAGGATCAGACAGGCATCTTCTTCTTCTGGATCAACTTTACACAGAATTAGTTTCATGAATTATCTTCTGTTGAAAGTTAACTAACATGAGCGACTGGTATTGGTTTCTATCACTTGAACGGTTCAAGCAGCTCTCGGCTGTCTGAGGGTGGGCCCAGGCCCCGTAGGCCCACCCACGACGCCGCGGCCCCCAGGGTTTTCTTTCCTGTGGGAAACGGGTAATAATGGCTCTTTGATGGGAAAAGGTCGCCGACCCCTGGCCTAAACCTGTTCAGTTATGGTATGTTCAGCTGTTCATGTCTATGTAGGTTCATAGTGCATGCTCATATGTGGATGAGATGGATGTAGATGCTTGTGTGGGTATGACGTATCTACAGTGGGGCAAAAATATTTAGTCAGCCTCCAGTCGTGCAAGTTCTCCTACCTAAGGAGATGACATTTTCTCCTGGTTCTTTTTCTTACTGGCACCTTTGTGTCTCGTGGGTCTGGTTCTAAAAGCTTTATGACGAGTGGGCAATCCTGGTCCTCGAGGGCCTTTATCCCACATGTTTTACTGTTTTCCCTGTTTCAACACACCTGATTTCAATCAGCAGGAGATTAGCTGGCTTCTGCAGCTTGATGAGCTGCTGAATCAACTGTGTTGGAACTGGGAAATAACAAAAAGATGGAGGATACCAGCCCTCGAGGACTGGAGTTGCCCGCCCCTGCTTTATGAGTGAAACTGAAGTTTAGCGTTTAATAGTCTGAAGCTAGAGCAGGAGGGGTTCTGAAGGAGCCTCTGCTTCTGTCCAGTACACAGGTCCGATTCCTGCCGCGCGGGCCGGCGAGTTGACCATGGGGGGAGGTCGCAGCGAGACCTCGGCACTGAGTGGGACCGGAGAGGGGTGGGGCTTTATCACTACCCAGAATTCCCAACGGCCCAATGCTTGCTGTTTCTGCTGGTGCTGCTGTTGCAGCTGTTCATGGTAAGACACACACACACACACACACACACACACACACACACACACACTTTCTATATCTGTAGTAGTTGTCCAGCTGAAGCTTATTTCTAACAGAGCTGAGCTGTGGGAGAAAATATTCAGGCTGATTTGATCTGATTTTCCTTCACCTGTGGGTTTAGTGCATTCACGTCATATTAATTATAATACTGTAAGTAACAGGTCACTACAGTCTGGGCTAGAGCGTGTTTCTAGGAACAGAAGCTGGTTGGGTTAGGGTTGGCAGCAGCTCACTGGTCCTGACAGGAGAACTCCTCTCATCAGCAGCAGGTGATCTACAGAGCAACACCGGTCCGAAAGAACCAAAAAGCACCGAGCTCAGATAGGGCCACCGGGCATTTCCCCAGCTGGTCCTGGTTCCGCCCGCCTTCGCCGAGCGTTTCGCTGCTATGAGAGCGAGGACGGGGGTAATAGCAGCGTCACACCTGAGGCTATGTAGGGGAAACACTGCCACACATCTAAATCCACGTTCTGTCATTGTGTGGACCAGCCAGCTGTCCCTACAATGTGGAAATGTCCCCTCACTACGGGTTTCAAGTTAAAATTGGTCCACTTAAGCATATAAAGACAAGTACACACACACACACACACACACACACACACACACACATTTATATCATGTAACTGTTGAAGGGAAACATTTGATCACATTCAGTTCTAAAATATCAGAATCATACTGATTTATTAATTGTATATTTATCTTGTGTGTGTGTGTGTGTGTGTGTGTGTGTGTGTGTGTGCAGCCTTTCATTAGAAAAATTTCATGCCACACAAATGTTTCCTTCTTCAGTAGCTTTTCTAACCAGCCCTTTCCACAGCCTAGACCAGGGCTATTCAATCCTGGTCCTGGAGGGCCGGTGTCCACGTTTTAGTTTTAACCCGCTTCAACACACCTGATTTCAATCAGCAGGTGATTAACAGGCTTCTGCAGAGCCTGATGAGCTGCTGCACATGCCACTCAACCACTGAATCTAGTGTGTTGGAGCAGAGAAACCACTAAAACATGCTGGATACCGGCCCTCGAGGACCAAACTTGAACAGCCCTGGCCTAGAACATTTAAAATCTTTACTCTTTGAGCTGACTTGACCAAATTTTGCTGATCCACCTGTGTGTTGTGTTATGGGTTTTTATATTCCAAGTGTTACTACACCATTTATGCCATTCATTTTGCTTTTATTCAAATTCAAAAATAATTTATTAATCCCAGAGGGAAATTGATTAAATGCTTATGTTAATTGCATGTTCTGTGGTGTGGTCAACGCAACTGTAAAGTGCTCTTAAAATAGACTTGAACCTTTCCACACGATGCATAAGCGCAGTGTGACGTCTGCTAAATGCAGTACTGGTGTTATAGTGGGTCGTGGTCCCACCAACAGCCAACTGTAGTCATTTGGAATTGTCCCAGTGGCATAGGGATGTGTGTTTGACCCCGTCAGTCTATTTTGTTGGCGCTACCCTTGTGGAACGCGTCAAACTTGGGAAGGATTTTGCTGCCGATCACCGATCACATGGATTGGCCTTAATCCACTGATTAACTGACCTGTATAAAATTAGGAAAAAATGTTTTTAGTTTTTTAAGACAACTAAAAGACTTACAGGACAATCAGTGTGTTTGTTTTTGACCACAACTTGTTAGCCTCCTGCTCACAACCCAAGGTCTAAAGCTGAAAATGTCTCTTGGATGAGAGGTAATGACCAGAAAAGTCCAGCTGTTTCCAGTTAAGTCTCTGAAGGTGACCATGTCACTAATAATTCCGCTGTGTTGACGTGTTTTAGCGAGCTTCCCGCGAGTTTGCATCACTCACAGAGTTAAACTTGCCGCTGTGCACATGCGGATGAGTGAGTGAGACGCGATGCTGCAGCTACACACAAGGTCTCTGTCGGCTGCAGTGACAGGACTGGCTCTAAGAGGAGTAGATCGGGAATCGGCCGATTACGTGTTTTTCACAGAAATTGTCCGATTTTGATTAGTGGTTGATCAGTTGGAACATCCCTACATCACACTCCTCAGGTCCGATTGAGACAGACAGGAAGTCAAACACAAAAGCTGTCAAACATCCAGAAACGTAAAGAAAAAAAAAGTCACATGCACATTTCCGGTTTCCAGTCGCCTCACTAGTAAAACACGTATGTAGTTTCCTGTCAAACCTCCGTATCCGAGACAAACAGGTCAGGATACACGCTGTGGTCTTTGCCTGCTTGTTGTGGTGTGACCTGCAGACATGGAGGGATGTTTGGCCTCGTGGGACCAGCAGCGGGTAAAACACCACTATTACGTTACGCTCCACTTACGTTTGGTGGAAAGGCTGGGTAACTATTAAACGTCTGCTTGATGCTTGAGGCTCAAACTCAGACTGACCTTCGACTCCTGAGTCGTGGAGACAGCAGGAGAAAGGAGGTTCAGCAGAGACGTCTCCATCTGCTCTGATTAAAACAGACGTATCACACAATACTTGAATTGTTTGGCCTTTTTGCTACGTCTCCACACTAAACCACGTTTTAATCGACTCAGCCGTAAGCTGTGGAGGTGAGAGGTGCTGAAGAGCATCAAGTCTGGCTTTAGTCAGAAGAACCAGCTTCCTATATCTGTTCTGATGTTTGGCACCAGAACTTGCGGTTCTATTATAGACGCTGTTCATGTCTGTGCAGTAGCTGGTTGTGTCTGTCTCCCACGTCTGAAGCCGGGCGGTCATGGTGCGACTTTTTCACGCTTTGAGCCGATTTTCCACTCGTGTGAGAATCCACGAGATGGGGGCGAGTTTTGCGCCGAGCGTCGTGTAGTTTACGGGGGGTTACGAGAGGCGAGTAACACCACATGACCAGCTACCGATCAGCAGTCGTGAGCTCGCACGGACTTCTGGCTTGTTTGATATTTTGCTCGTCCCTCGTGAGGGTTGAAGTGGCGCTGCGAGCTGCTGCGACCCAATGAGCACCAGAACCGCTCACGGCGCATGTGCAGACATGTGTCAACACCCCTCGCCAGCTATTTCCTACCAACACACGTCGTTTGTTTTCATTTGAGGGGCGACGGCAACACAGGAGTTAATCGGAAGGTTGCAGGTTGGTCGCTGTCGTTGTGTCCTTGGGCAAGACACTTAACCCACCTTGCCTGCTGGTGGTGGTCAGAGGGACCGGTGGTGCCGGCGTACGGCAGACTCGCCTCTGCCAGTGCGCCTCAGGGCGGCTGTGGCTACAAGGTAGCTCATCACCACCAGGGTGTGAATGGATGAATGACTGATTGTGTTGTAAAGCGCCTTGGGGGGTTCCAGGACTCTAGAGGGCGCTATATCAAATGCAGCTTTTTTACATACACACACACACACACACACACACACACACTGACAAGGATTACCAAGAGTGTGTGTTTGTATCAAGTGGAAGAGATCACAAAGCACTGATTTATTTTTTCCTTTTCCTCCTCCAACCTCCATAAATCCCTGAGTGTCCTCCTGCAGCTCTCCCGAAGGACAACAGACATCAAGAGCAGCACAAAGGCCGACGTGTTGTGTAAAAACGGTTGTTTTTGGCGTATTTGTAGGTCCGACGTGTTCCTACCTGATGTGCAGTGTGAGCACACGACTCGTGAGATTTGCTCTGCGAGGACGTCACCTTGTTAGCGTGCGAAGGTATCTTCAGACGGCCCGTAACGCTCCGCTTCAAACGGGTTCCTTTGTGATGAAGTGTCAGCGACGAACACATGACCAGGTACCGAGTGAGGTCATTCAGCCCCGGAAAATCTCCGTGGGTCTGGCCAAACGCATCGGGGGTCAGCTTCTGGTTCTGAACCGTTGCCTCCTGTTCAGTCCACACACCACCTTTAGAAGTTGGGTGGCTTTGTGAACGTGCACATGACCAGACCAGGCAGTCAGGGTTCGGTGGTGAACCAGTGAGCCCATTTTAATGATGCAGGTGTTGATTCTGGTCCAGGCCAGGTCTCGACAGTCCAGATCTGTTGTGGGGGACATGTCTTACACCTCCGTTTCTCACTCTGTACTTGGAGTTCTGGCGGGCTGATTTCTGCTGCACGCTGTTTTCTCTCCCACCGCCAGCGCCTGTGTCTCAAGAGAACACGCTAATAGTCACATGTGCCTCCATTACCACCCCTGATGCACCAGGTAATAGTATTACTCACCTATTGTGTATACCCGGTTTCTCACTTCTGCACGCTTATCACCCTCCCCCTGTGGAGCAGTGATCGTTACCCTACTGGGATGGTTAGGTCACCCGTTCCGCTGATGGGCTGCTTTTGTCGCCAGCTGTTCTCCTGCAGTGCTCATAGACATTGTGACCATCACTCTTCACTCCCTTGCCTCGCTGGCTTCTTTTTTCCTTTTTCCGCCCACAGATTTCTGTGCGTTTTGGCAACCGGAGGTAACTTCTAGGGTTTGATCTGAACCAGCTTGGTCTGTGACCCAGTAGAAAGCCCTAACCCTCCCGTGTTCCAAATGGGGTCAGATGGACCCCCGAGTCTTTTTCAGTGAGGACATAAGCAGCAAGTGGAGACTGCCAGCTCAGTGGCCTAGTGGCCTGCCCTGGGAGTGGGAGAGCAGGATTCAAATCATGGTTGGGTCATATCAAAGACTGAAAGAAAATGGGACCCAATCCCTCCTTGAGGGGTTAAACCACCGACGGGCTCCAGAACCCGGCTGTGTCTGCAGCTCACCACTCCCCCAGAGGATAAGTGAAGTGGACAGAAACTAGTGTTTCTGTAGTGAACATGTCTATGAAGGCTAGGACGTGAGCAGTGTTCTGCAGCTACAATCTCTATATTTGGAAGAAAATCTTATGCAGCACAGCAGGGCCCGTGCAGGACCCGCCTGTCGGACCCTGCTCGACAGCTGCCTTCGCTCCGAACAGGAGTGTGGCAGCAGCAGCGTTCTCCGCCTGCCGTGCGGTCACACAACAGCCCTTCTCCCTAACCCTGACTCCAGCCGTTCAACAGAATATTCTTGAGTATCTAAACCCAAACACAAACCTGTCCTGGGTCTACAGTGAATACAAGTCACCGTGAGCGTGCTAACTTCTGCACACTTAAGCTAAATACGCAATATTTAGTGGTTCACTCTGTTACCTCTAACATCTCATTTCCTGTTCATCACTCAAATGATAAATTAGTAAATTAATGTCTGTAATAACTTATTAAACCTTCATCAGGTACTGGAGGCCACTGTCTAACATTATCATTCCATATTTTCATGATTAGAGTTGGGCATTGTTTGATTTTGAATGATTCCGATTCTGATTCCAATTCCTCGTTTCGATTCCGGTTCCTATCAATTCCCGATTCCGATTCTTTCAATACATTCCATGTTTTACATGAGCCAGCTAACCACAGGTCCTACTGGATGAACTAATCTTAACTTCAACATGAATTTTAACTCTATGAACAACAACATCACCTTCATGTAGACACAAACATGTTTTGGAGACAAAAGAAGACGACTTGCAGCACAACCAGTGTGTTTGTTTCTGACCACAACCAAAGTGTGGAAGCAGCCTCTGGGATGAGAGGCTAAATGTCTCCAACATATCCAGAAACGTCCAGCTGTCTTCAGCTACAACTCTCAGGATGATCATTATTTATGGTGGCAGAAGCTGGTGTGGTCCACCACAGAGAAGCTGCTCTAGCATGATGACTTTAATTATTCTACAGGTTATTGTTCAGCCTTCTGACGCTCACGTGTCTGACTACTGACGCTCCGTGTGTGTTGTTATTTCTGCAGTGAGACAAACTCACCCCACACCGTCCAGAGTTTGTTCTTTAAAGCTTCTATTAAATCCACCGTGTTGACGTATTTAACACGTTTCCTCTACGCTGCAGGAGTTAAAGTTTACGTTACGGAGTGAAAGTTCGGCAGACGTGTTTGTTTACATCTGGGTGGGGGGAGGGGGGTGCTGCACACACAGCTGGTGTGATCAGCTCTGAAAAGCGTTGATCACAATTTGCAGATCACGTTTATTTTTCATGGAGATCAGCCGCGAATTCCTCTTCCGTCGGCATTCTAGGAATTGAAATAAAAATCTTTGAACGATTCCGGGGAAAGCTAACAGTTGGAACCGGTTCCTGTCGATGCTCAACCCTAGGGTCAGTTTACAATGACAGATTAATGAATGAATCATTGACACGTGACACTGCAGCAATGGCGGCGCAGCAAGATGGCGACCTCCACAAAGTGGGGCAACCCTTTAAGGCGGCGGGCCTCACTGGTTCTACGTGGCGTAGTAACCTTTAGAAATGGTTTGCTGTCCTCAATCCATCTTCTACCTGACCGGGCCCGTCCAGTAGGCGGGCGCACCTTCAAAGCTCTTTGGTGGATGGCTCTAATTCGGAGAGTTAGACCCAGTAGAAGCTTTAAAGGGCTGCATCTACATCTTAGGGTTACAACACATAGCCATGGTTTTAGCACCAGCTGGCCAGTGACGGGAGCTCTTCACGGTCATTGTTGTCCGTTACGGTGTCCACACATTTCCTGTCTGCAAATGTAGTTGTGTGTTTGATGATGCTGGGTTGTGTATGAGCTGGTTCAGGCTCTCTAAAGCCGGGCGTACACTGTGCAACTTTTTCACTTTTTTGAGCCGATTTTCCACTCGTGCGAGAATCCACCAGATCGGGGCGAGTTCAGCGCCGAGCGTGGTGTAGTGTACAGGGGGTCACGAGAGGCGATTAACACCACGTGACCAGCTACCGATCAGCAATCGTGAGGTCGCACGGACTTCTGGCGTGTTTAATATTTTGCTCGTCCCTCGTGAGGGTATCGCACTGTTGAAGCGGCGCTGCGAGCAGCTGCGACCCAAAAAGTATCAGAACCGCTCACGGCGCATGCACGCGCAATCCTGCATCAACACCGCTCGCCCGCTATTTCCCTAATAACACACGCTGTTCGTTTTTATTTCTACACGTTTTTTTACTCACAAAGATTGTCAAGAAAGCGTGTTTGTCGTGTTCATGTCAAATTAAACTGATCACTAAACACAGATTTACTTTCTTTATTTCGTTTTCCTCATCCAACCCCCATAAATCCCTGTGTGTCCTCCTGCAGCACTCCCGAAGGACAACAGGCAAAACAAGACAAAACAGTCTGACGTGTTGAGTAAAAACGGCTATTTTTAACATATTTTTAGGGCCGACGTGTTGCTACCAGACGTACAGTGTGAGCAGTCAGATTGCATCCGAGAACTGGGTCGTACAGTGTGAGCGCCTGGCTCGTGAGGTCTGCCCTGCGAGGAAGTCGTACAGTTGGAGCTGAAGCTGAACGCTACGAGTGAAAAAGTCGCCCAGCTTAATGGTGGGAACTGACCTGCTTGTATGAAGATGGATGCACCAGTATCGTCTGTGTATTCGTACTGGTTTACAGCAGAGTGATGCTGCGCTGAGCTGCAGCAGGAGACCTCTGGAGTAGATGAAACATGTCTGAGTACTATTTCAGCAGTACATGTACCATTGCTTGGTTTGGGTACACACAGGAACGAGTCACTGCTGGTTTCACCTCCTTTTAGCCACATTTGGCCAAAGCAGCAGGAAGGCACCAAAGGAAGTCAGCAACCTGTTTCTTGCTACTGGCACCTGCTAGTATGGCAAGCTGTTTTATTATATAGTCAACTGCACGTTGTAAAAGTTAGTGCAGGTAATTAGTGTATTTACTGGTTTTTATGAAACTCATTTTTCAGTCATTGGACTAAGAAGTTTGGTGTTTCGTTTATTTAGTTTTTTCACAGATTTTTTTCATTTTAGTTTTCTTTTCAATTTTGCATCAATTCCAGCAGAAAGCACTCAGGTGTGGATCAGTTTTGCTTGATTTTTCTGTGTTTCCATATTAGTACTCGGCACTGGAATGAACTTATCGGAGAGCATTCACACGCGGTTTGGAGAAGTGTGCTGCTGCTGTGGAAACGTGTTCAATGAGTGATGAAACCACTTCTGACCTTTGGTCACGCAGTCAGGGAGTGATTATGTCTCCGTATTTATAGCTCGCTGCTATCTGTCTCCCTCACACACACACACACACACACACACACACACACACACACACACACACACACACACACACACACACACACACACACACACACACACCTGTGGATGTTAACACAACAGGTGTTGTCATTGTCAATGTAGCAACAGCATTGAGTGTGACTGAAACTTGTGGTGCAATGTGTGTGTGTGTGTGTGTGTGTGTGTGTGTGTGTGTGTGTGTGTGTGTGTGTGTGTGTGTGTGTGTGTGTGTGTTACTGGCTGAGAGCAGTTTTATGATGTCAGTTTTACTGTCAGGAATGAAGAGGAGAGACGGAAGCGCAGGAGGAGGAAGAAAATATCCCTGGACTCCAAGATGGAAACAATACCAAGATGTGAATCTTGGTTAGTGTGTAACACACACACACACACACACACACACACACACACACACACACACACTGAAATGGGTCTCTCTCTCATTTTTTCGTTTAAATTTTGAAGACATGTAGAGGTTGTGAGACCAGGTCACCTGATGGTCTCAGGTCTGGATCCAGACGGGTTCAGTTCACAAGTTTGTTGAGATTTTTGCTGCAGATCAGAAGCATTTTTCCTGCTATTAAACAATGTCAGCACAAGTCAAGACTCAAAAAAAAAAACTCAGAGTAAATGACCCGAGATTCTTTGTGACTAAAAGCAGCAACCGTTTTTCCATTTTTTTTTCAATTCCCAAGCAATTTCCTTGTAAAATCCTACTTGAATTTGGACCTCCGGGCTGCCGTAGCAGCTATTTTCTGCTCTTCTAGCAGCAGCTATCCATGTTTTCCATTTGTGAATGATCAGTCAAGCAGCATGTTTAAGTTACACTGAGCAAAAATATAAACTCAGCATTTTTGTTGTTGATCCCGTCTTTCCTGAGCTGAACTCAAACATCTGAAACTGTGTCTACACACACAAAACACCCATGACTCTCACGTATTCTTCTGAAATCTGTCTACGTGTGTGTTAGTGAGCACTCTTCCTTTACCAAGACAATCCATCCCACCTCACAGGTGTGGCATTTCAAGGGACTGATCAGAAGCATGAATAATGTACAGGTGTGCCTCAGACGGCCCACAATAAAAGGCCATGTCATGGGTGTTTTGTGCCTGTAGAAAAAGTTTCAGATGTTCGAGTTCAGCTCATGAAAAATGGGAGCAAAACCAAAAATGTTGCGTTGATATTTTTGCTCAGTGTAGAAGGCTCGGCGGGCCTGTGGGCTTGCCGCTGATGTCTCCCGGGATTCTGCCGGCTGCTGATTGTAGCTCCCCAGGACAATCCTCTGCGCCGCTCGAGGGGGGCGGGGGCTTTTCTGGTTGCAGTCTCCCTGGGGTCCCTGTGCTCTGGGGCAGCTCCTGGATCTCTGGGACTTGGAGCTCCCTCCATCTCCTACACATCTTTGGGGGGCGGATCTGTGGTCCCTCACACTCTCTATTGGACGCTCCTATAGAGAAACCTTACATAAACAAGCGCGTGTACACACACAGGTGCTCACATGGTGCTCTCATAAGTATGGGCTTGGGCACGTTCAACACATGTCTTAAGGCTGTGGTTGGCACTAAATGCACTGTGATTTATTATCGTGTGATTGTTCAGTTAAACAATGTTTTTATATTTCCTCATCAGGTTGATGCAGTGATAGCTTGCTCCTGATGTATTGTTGTTGTGTCCCTTTTCTGCAGGTCTAGAAGCAGATTCCTGTTCATCATTGATTGTTTATTTTTGTGGAACCCCCCCACCGCCCCCATTCCTCTCTTCCTTTTGTCTTTTCCGTTCTCTTTCACCTCTGACTCGGGTCTGGTCGGAATTACAAAGCATTCAACAACAACAACAATAAAGTTTTAAGTATCAGGCGTGACATTAAAAGCAAACGCTTTGATGCTCCACCTGAGAGTAAATCTGAAAGGCTTGTCACCAGCATTCAGACATCAGTTCTGTTTGCTTCACAGCCAGACAGGACACGGGGAAAGAAGGTGTCTACATGTCGTTTAAGTCGTCATACACTGCTATGACATGGGGAAACCACCTGCCCCGTATAGAGCAGAGCTGGTGGAGAAGAGCAGTATTTGTTTTATTCCTTAGAATTCCTTGAACATAGTCATGGTCAACTTACAGGGACACGCTGGTCCTGTGCGTGCACTCTGAAGACATGAAATCACATTTCCAGGTGGTGCCATGTGTTTGTGGCTGGGTGCTTCTGATCCAGAGAGCATCGTGGGGTTTTCAGACGTCTGATAACTTATAACACAAATGCTGAACCAAGGTTTTCAGGGTTGGACCTGTCGCTGACTCTCAGGCTGAGTTAGTGGGTGCTGAGGTCAGCACATCCATCCAGCTGGTGACTGCTCCACCTCTGCATACAAAACACCAATCCTGAAGTTTATGATTGATCATTTTATTTTATTGAAGCATCAAAGTGGCTGAATTACAAAGTGAACGCAGTAACGATGGCTGAGGCATCAGGTGAACACTAACAGAACCTTTCACCCATCCTATCTCAGCACCAAACCCTCGCCAGAGGAGATCGGGCTTTGGTCTCAGTCGTTCGACAAGCTGATGAGGAATCCTGCAGGTCGCAATGTTTTCCGAGAGTTCCTGCGGACGGAGTACAGCGAGGAGAACATGCAGTTCTGGTTGGCCTGTGAAGACCTGAAACGAGAGATCAACAAGAGCGCCATCGAAGAGAAAGCACGGGTCATCTACGAGGACTATATTTCTATATTATCACCCAAAGAGGTACACACACACACACTCTCTAGTCTAGCATTTGTTGTGAGGACCGTCATTGACTTCCATTCATGTTAGTGACTGGATTGTGTCTAACCCTAACCAGTGCAACCTCACCCCTGAGCCTAAAACAGTGAGCATTAGGACCGGGTCTGGCCCTAGCTGTACAAGTACACACACACACACACACACACACATCTTAGGTGTGTTCTTGCTGTGTCGTTCTAATTCCATGTTGTCGTTCTTTATAAAACACAGAAACAGTTTTGTTTACCTGTTTTGTCGCTACGTTTCGCCGGCAGCTGCATGCTTCTTCAGGCTGACGCTGATGGTGGCGCGTCACTTCCTACTCCGTTTATCCGCGGGCAGCAGAGGACGTTGTCGCCCTCTGCTGCCCGCTAACGCGCTGTGCCAGAGCGTCGGTACTGACACGCGATCGTTCATGTCGGCTCATTTCCTTTTATGTTTTCTGTCTTTTATTTGTGCCTGATGCGTTTCGCTGCATGCTGTGGAGCGGGGCGCATCACCTTGTCCTCCGACGCACCAATCACTGATGCGGCCACCAAGCAGGGAGCGCTCCTCTGTTTTAGCGGTCGGTAGATCTTTTAGAACTGCAGTTCAAAGGTAACTCATGAGGTGAATATATATGAACCCAGCCAGGTAGCAGTTTTTCTTTAGGATTGAGAGGAGATGCAGGAAGATAATAAACAGGCAGGACAGAAAAATAGTCAAATAAAAACAAGTTAGTTGTTGTACCTGCTGGTTGCAACAAACAGACACCATTGAAGGTAATCAGAAGTGAGGAACAGAAAATGAAATAATTATTTTAATGTTTAGAGCAGCAGGAACTCCGAGAGGCTGCAGGCGCATCAGTGAGTTTGCGCTGCTGCACAGGGGGAGGGGGGGGAGGGCTGAAGCAGGGGGAGGGGGGGAGGGCTGAAGCAGGGGGAGGGGGTAGAGGGCTGAAGCAGGGGGAGGGGGGAGAGGGCTGAAGCAGAAACTACTGTTGTTAAAAGAAATGTGTTTAACTTTGAAAATGTGGGCGCACTTTTAATTGTCAATAACTCCAGCGAACCATTAGTTCATTTTGCTCAAATAGAAATTGAGGCCTGCCTCTAATTCTGGCCCTCCTTCCAATAAAGGCCTGGAGCTTGATGAGCTTGAGTCAAATACAGGCCCGGGCCTGTATTAGAGGATTTACGGTATATATATATATATATATATATATATATATATATATATATATATATATATATATATATTTTTTTTTTTTTTTTTTTTTTTTCTCCCTTCGAATCTGGGAGGGTGGGACTCCAGCTATGGACGAGCCCCCAGGGGGCCCAACTTGATATTTTTTCATGGGGCCCAAAATCTCTGGCAGCCCTGCGTGTGTGTGTGTGTGTGTGTGTGTGTGCGTGCGTGCGTGCGTGTGTGTGTGTGTGTGTGTGTGTGGTGAAAACACACCTGGTCTGCTGAGTGACGTTCAGTTTGCTTCCAGGTGAGTCTGGATGCTCGTGTTCGAGAGATGATCAACAAGAAGATGCAGGAGCCGACGCCTCACACCTTTGAAGATGCTCAGCTGCAGATCTACATGCTGATGCACAGGGACTCGTACCCACGCTTCCTCTCCTCCAGCAACTACAAGGCCCTGGTTCTCGGCGGCTCTCAGCCCTCCTCAGACTCCTAGTCCTCCTCCTCCTCCTCCAGGAGCAGCTCCTCTCCTGTCTTCTGTCTCCAGTGTCTCCGTATCATCTCCAACTAAACTTTAAGCACCTTTAAGAGCCTTGAACATCAGGCTTGTAAAAACGATCACCTCTGATTTCATTTCCCACAAAAAAACACGGAATTAGGACGTCAAAACAAGGAAAACTACTAATGAATGTTTCTGGTGGGAACATTTAGTTTGGTAGTGTTTTACTCATCTGTTTACTAAGATCCAGTCTCACAGAAAACTTTAACCTTTGACCTTTCCCTCTGGATTTGCTTCTCGCTCTCTGATTCTTTAAGGGAGACGGAGGAGTTTCGGGGTCAACGCTCTGCTGCGTACTCGACTACTTTAGAACAGAAGCATCCGTTTGTGTCATGGGCCCTCACCGGCTAGCTGAAGGAGAACCTCTCAGACCTCCAACAGCTGCCTCTTCAGAAAAGATGGAGGTAGCTCCTCCCATCTGAACGGGTCAGGATGACCGTTCCTCCCTCTGGTTCCTCCTGTTGGGAGCAAGCGGACGGAGGATGGCCTCATTTCTACAAAAACGAAGGAGCCAGGATCTCTGACTTGTTCTGTTATCTCCTTTCCTGGTTTTTATTACTTTTTCAAGAAGAGAAGAATTCCTCTGAACGTGCTGATCTCCACCCAACACACACACACGCACACACAGCAATAAAACACTGGCGTCTACACCACGCTGTGTTACTACACTTACGGACGCCGGTGACCGATCCTTCTAAATGAACCTTTAGAAGAAACTTGGATAAGTTGAAAGTATTTCTGTTTAAAAGGATGAAGGACTTCTGTCCATAGCTTCCTGAAAGGCCTCAGCTTGTAGAAATAGAGATTCCGTTTTCAGACTGGCCCCATTCTTCTGTCTAAACAGGAAGTTTCATTTTCAAAGCACAAACATGTCTGTTAGGGGTTAAAAGGCTCAGATCAGCTTCCTTTTTACAGGTTTTCCATTCTTCTAGAGCTTTATTACCGTATTACCCTGAATATAGGACCACCCCCTTTCCAAGACTAATCTTCAGAAAAAGACAAAAAAAATCACTTTTTAAATAAACTATCTTTATTGACATTTGAGAACTAATACTGGGCTGTGCAGTGGCCCAGTGGTTAGAGCTGCTGTCTTGCAGCGAGAAGGTCCCGGGTTCGCTTCCCGGCCTGGGATCTTTCTGCATGGAGTTAGCATGTTCTCCCTGTGCATGCGTGGGTTCTCTTCGGGTTCTCCGGCTTCCTCCCACAGGTTGATTGGTCTGTCTAAATTGTCCTTAGGTGTGTGTGTGTGTGTGTGTGTGTGTGTGTGTGTTGCCCTGCGATGGACTGGCTCTCTGTCCAGCGTGTACCCGCCTGATTGCCCGTTGACCGCTGGAGATGGGCACCAGCCTGTGCCTCACCCTCTCTCTCGTGCTTCTGCAGTCCCGGCTCCCCCCATAGAACGCCATCCTCGCTGCCATCCATGCATTAGATATGCAGCACGGTCCCTTTGGGTATTTTACACTCCAGACCGCCATATTTTATTTCCTGGCTGTTGTTTGACACCTCTGCTGTCATAACTCTGCCTTAGTAACTTGCCCCACTTTGGATCCACTCCGCTCCGGACCGCTCTTCTCCATGTTTTCCTCCTGTTGATAACCAAGTAATATAATTCTCAGCTCACCATCAAATGTGGATGTAAGAAGTCTGACCTCTGATGAACGCATCATAAAACATCCTCAGGTTTTTGTTCATGTTTGAAAAGAAATAGTCAACTGTGGCTCCGTAAGTATAGTAAAACACACACACACACACACACACACTCCAGGGTGGCTTACCTGGGCACTGCTGCTACTGATCTCTGTAATCTCTCACCTTTGACCTCATCACTGTCCACACGGATGCCTGCCACTGACTGGCTGCAGGAGGCCACAGGGCTGATCTGTGGTTGGTCAATTGTGTGTGTGTGTGGGGGGGGGGGATTCCAGGTGCAAAAACAACAGACCAACAGAGAGCTGTTCTGTTATGCGAGGCGGCACGCTCGCCCCAGAGCTCCATGTGAGATGCCGAGTGAACACGGGCGAGCTTCAACACAAGCAGAAGAAGCCTCCGTCTCTTCACTTGACCGGTCCCTCAGAAAGCATTTATCTCAGTAGTGTTAAATGTTATTTATTTTATATTTTGTTAAAACTGTGATTTTATTTGTACAGATATAAATAGAAACCTTGGAAAAGCAGCGTCGCCTGTTCTGTTTTTCTTCTTTTATCACAAACAAACAAACATCTGTGGTAAACCAACCACCGCACGGCTGTTAGAGCCACAGCTGGAACTGCCTCTGCGACTCACCAGAGTGTGACATCAACAACATCTCAGCTGCAGTCGTAAAAATGTGAAACCTTACAACTGAAGCTGAACATCGTCGTGTCTGTATCACTTTACTGGTAACGTCTTCCCGTTGGAATGACCAGAAACAAAACATCTTCAAGACATGAAAGAAGTCCAGTCGCCTTCATTTGAACCTAACGGGGTCCTGACCATGACCCGGATGACTGAGAACCTTCACCAGAGCACCTGGACACGACTGTTTATGTGCCTTCAGACCGGACACGACCAATGGAAATGTGCCCTTTGATTCTAATCGAATGTTTATTAATACACACCATCTCTGAAAGTTATGTATATAAATTTGAATGAGTGATTACAGGGGAACTAGGCAGTTCTGGCTTGCTTTTAGCACCCCCTAGTGTTCGTTTGTAGAACCAAATCACCAGGCTGAAGTTGCAACTGGAACATTTTGGCGATGGGGCGGAGTGGCCTAACCCTGACCCTGACCAGGGTCATTTTAGCACATACTGGCTCCTGAAAATGATTTTAAAATATGAAAGAGTTGCTAAGTATTCTTTCAATACCACATCTATGTACATCAAACTCAGCTCACCACGCAGGTGGTAATAAGATCCTTGTTACTGGGATCGGATGGAGCCTCTCCCAGTTTGAGGGTCACAGCCCTCTGTTGCCCAGGGGAACATTAAACTTCCACAACTTCTCTTTGTTCTACTTCAACCCTTGTTTGCACCCATCCTGTTCCTGGTGTCACGGTCATGTGGGATCTCTATCATCTCTGGCTTTTCTGCAGTTCGTAGATCACCAAGATGCCTGGTTGGTGGAAGTCCCACAGTGTCTTAGCTCTAGTATTCACTATTAAACACGCTGAACAAAGCTCTTCCTGCACTATTCCATCTACTACGGTGTTCCATGTGACTTGCCTACACCCAGAGGTGTAAATGGTACTAAAATGTTAAAGTAAAGTTAAAGTACAAATACAGGTCCTTCTCAAAAATTAGCATATTATGATGAAGTTCATTATTGTCTGTAATGTACTGATAAACATTAGACTTTCATATATATTAGATTCATTACACACAACTGAAGTAGTTCAAGCCTTTTATTGTTTCTAATATTGATGATTTTGGCGTACAGCTCATGAAAACCCAAAATTCCTATCTCAAATAATTAGCATATCATGAAAAGGTTCTCTAAACGAGCTATTAACCTCATCATCTGAATCAACTAATTAACACTAAACACCTGCAAAAGATTCCTGAGGCTTTTAAAAACTCCCAGCCTGGTTCATTACTCAAAACCGCAATCATGGGTAAGACTGCCGTCCAGAAGGCCATCATTGACACCCTCAAGCAAGAGGGTAAGACACAGAAAGACATTTCTGAACAAATAGGCTGTTCCCAGAGTGCTGCATCAAGGCACCTCAGTGGGAAGGAAAAGGTGTGGCAGAAAACGCTGCACAACCAGAAGAGGTGACCGGACCCTGAGGAAGATTGTGGAGAAGGACCGATTCCAGACCTTGGGGGACCTGCGGAAGCAGTGGACTGAGTCTGGAGTAGAAACATCCAGAGCCACCGTGTACAGGCGTGTGCAGGAAATGGGCTACAGGTGCCGCGTTCCCCAGGTCAAGCCACTTTTGAACCAGAAACAGTGGCAGAAGCGCCTGACCTGAGCTACAGAGAAGCAGCACTGGACTGTTGCTCAGTGGTCCAAAGTACTTTTTTCAGACGAAAGCTAATTTTGCACGTCATTCAGAAACCAAGGTGCCAGAGTCTGGAGGAAGACTGGGCAGAGGGAAATGCCAACATGCCTGAAGTCCAGTGTCAAGTACCCACAGTCAGTGATGGTCTGGGGTGCCATGTCAGCTGCTGGTGTTGGTCCACTGTGTTTTATCAAGGGCAGGGTCCATGCAGCTAGCTATCAGGAGATGTTGGAGCACTTCATGCTTCCATCTGCTGAAAAGCTTTATGGAGATGAAGATTTCATTTTTCAGCACAACCTGGCACCTGCTCACAGTGCCAACACCACTGCTAAATGGTTTACTGACCATGGTATTACTGTGCTCAACTGGCCTGCCAACTCTCCTGACCTGAACCCCGTAGAGAACCTGTGGGATATTGTGAAGAGAAAGTTGAGAGACGCCAGACCCAACACTCTGGATGAGCTTAAGGCCGCTATCGAAGCGTCCTGGGCCTCCATAACACCTCAGCAGTGCCACAGGCTGATTGCCTCCATGCCACGCCGCATTGAAGCAGTCATTTCTGCTAAAGGATCCCCGACCAAGTATTGAGTGCATAACTGAACATAATTATTAGAAGGTTGACTTTTTTTGTATTAAAAACACTTTTCTTTTATTGGTCGGATGAAATATGCTAATTATTTGAGATAGGAGTTTTGGGTTTTCATGAGCTGTACGCCAAAATCATCAATATTAGAAACAATAAAAGGCTTGAACTACTTCAGTTGTGTGTAATGAATCTAATATATATGAAAGTCTAATGCAGGGGAGTGGCCTGGGGTAGCACATGCCACCCTTGGAATCTGATTGGCCACCCCAGGTGCCACCACTCTAATTTACCTTTAAATAGGCTTTTCATTGTCCACAAAAGGCTTCGGGGTAAAACAAAAAAAGCATAACCATTGGTGCCACCCATGCACAAAGTTGTGCCTCAACTGGGCCACCCCATTTTAATAGATCTAGACACGCCACTGGTTTAATGTTTATCAGTACATTACAGACAATAATGAACTTTATCACAATATGCTGATTTTTTACGCAGGACCGGTACACGAACAAAACGAAACCTGTCAGACAGAACCCAGCACTGTTGCTTTGATCCCTACAACATGTTCAAGACTTTCTGAGAGAATATTGTGATCAGAACATCAGTCTGTTTCTGATGGTTTTCTGGGAGAAAAGCGGCTTCTTTGCCATCTTCATAGCAGCAAAGGTGGAGCCCCAATTCCACAGGAGACGCCATCTTCACAAATACATCAAACCTGATGCGTTTGTTTTTATTTGCATAATATTTACTCCACCTTGTGTTCACATTGGTCATTTCTGCTTAAAGGGACTATAAGGAAGTGTGACAGCCAAAGCATGTATAGAAATAATAAATGTCTTCTTCATACATTCTCCTGCAATGCCCTGGTCCTGTAGAATGAGCCCTGGCATTTTTACTGTGATTGCCTGTTTTTCTGTAAAATCACAGAAAAAGAGAGATGCTCGGGTCGAGCAGGCTGCTTCATGCGCGTTCACGCTCAGGCATCGCCCGTAGCATTTGCTATCCGTAGCTTTAGCAGCAGAGAGAGAGGCAGTGCCACTTTGTCGCTGTTCCTAACGCCTAGTGACAAAGCTAGCTACATTTCTGAGGACCCTTAGCTACTTTCTGTAGAACTTTCTTCTAGATATTTCCTGCTAATTAGCAACAAAATAGCCATTTTCACTCCGAACCGTTCTTTGGTTTGAACGTTGTTTCAGCTGTCATCAAGGATATAAATGTTACAGATACAAAAGATGTCACTGGTGCTTTGGCTCACATAGTAAGATGTTGGATTCATGCAGAAGACCTGGGTTTGATTCTGGATGTGAACATAGTTTATTTAGAGTTCATTTTTTACATTAATGGTATATTTTTTACAGTAAGATGCCCAAATTTTTATTTGAGACTCGCCGAACGGCATTGAATTCACAGATAAAAAAGATGTGGGTTCAACTTTTATTTTGGAACAATTTTTCAAGCAAGGGAAGGGAATGATCTGAGCATGCAGGAGGACTGACCCATCATAAACCTTTGTCGGCTGTGCTGAAGAGAAAGGTACAGAACCACATTATTTCATTAATTAGCTGCGAGTTCTCCTGTCCTCTGTCCTCCAGGCCACACACACACACACACACACACACACACACACACACACACACACACACACACAATCACAACACAAGGGACTGTCTCAGCTGTTATTTTCGTTAAGGAGTGTGCACGTACAGCATGCGCGCCTCGTGCACGAGCCTACTATTGAAGCTGCCGTTATGCTTTTGGCCTGAGGGGGCGATGGCGAGCAAAAAAATTCAAAACTCTGTAAAGTCCCTTTAAGTTTAGCAACTTGTGATTTCTGTCTTGAACGATACTTTATAGAGGATAAGTCTGATCATCATTTGACGTCAATGTCAACTAAATTTGGATCTAATTTTATTCCGTAAAAACACCAAACATGAATAGAGAGAACCACAGACAGCGAATCGGTTCAATCTGTGAACAACTTTAATGTGTCAGAAGAAAATCATGTGGCAGCATAACAAGGCAAAGAAAGGCACATCAATCATCTTCACAGGTAGAACTGTGAAAACAAGCTTCAGGTGCTTCATACAAAACTAAACCGATAGACACCATCAACATTTTAGTTTTCTTCTACATATATTACATTTGTTAGCATTAAATATAAAAGGAAACATTAAATAAAATCAAAAAATCTAAATGCTAAATTCAATCACTTCAACAAGTTTGCATTTTGATTGAAGAAACAAGTCTTCAGCAGAACTGTAAAGATGAGAAGAACGATTAGAGCAGCTGCCCGGTGTCATCAGCACAAGCCTTAAACAGTCCTGTTTCACATGCAAAGTTACTGCTGAAGGTTCAAATTTACATCAAAGTAAAGACTCCAGCTCAAGATCAGCTGTGAGCTTCAGTCTGGTCCATCAGGAACGATGATCCACAAAGTTCTCAGGGAACCACGATTCGCTAGAGGTGTTTGGATATCTCGTATACACAAAATGAGGGACAGGGACAGAATATTTTAAAAGAATAATGAAGAGTAGATGTAAACTAAAAGATGAGCTTCTTCTGCCATCTTGTGATAGAACAAGAAACGTGTCTGAGAGTCAGAGAGGCTGATGTTTCTACAAGTCAAGAGTCTAAAAAACTACTGCAATGTCTCCAACCCTGGTGCTAGAGGGCCACGACCCAACATGTTTTAGCTATTTCTCTGCTCCAACACGGCTGGTTTTGATAGATCACCTGTTCATCAGCTAATTCATGTCTGCAGAAGACGTAATCAGGTGTGCTGGAGTAGAGCAACTTCTAGAGGCCCTGGTGCACCGAGGGGGGACACCACTGTGATCATTTCACCTACAGTCATCCACTCACCAGCGTGAGGTTTGTTTGTTTGTTTGTTTGTTTGTTGAACTGAACCCTTTTTTATGGTCCGAGGAGATAAAGATGCAGCTTTTTGGCCACAATCAATGCAGTTTCACGTGCATCTACGATGAGCTACGGCAATAATCGAGCTAAAAAATAAGTCTACGATACATCCTAAATTAATTTGGACATCTGACTTCTACTTTTAAAAATGACTAAAGTTGCAAAATCATTCCTTCCTGGAAAAAGAAGAATTCATATCAACCATTAAATCCCCCCAAATGATCTGTTAGGACTAATAAAACGTTTGAGATAAACTTCTGTTGTAGCATCTAACGGTGGTTCCTCACCTTCCATCGGTTGCCACAGCTGTTGCACACAACAAACGTAGTCATGGGCTCATCAGCGCTGCGGGTCTGCACCTGCAACACACTGGTGATTAGCCGTTTATGGAGTAAGAGAAGCAGCGCAGCCTCGGTCAGCCGGACCTGTGTGTACGTGCAGTTCTTCCCACGACACTTGCTGCAGACAAACATGTCGGTCTCAGTTCCTCCAACCTTGGACAGCTGGTGTTCTCTGATGGACTCTTTGGTGAGAGCCTCTCTGATCTGCTTCAGCTCGGCACTTGCCATCTCCTGCATTCACACACAACACACACTCACCAGCCTCTCTTCAACTAGTTAGTAATACAAAGGTCTAATCAGCCAATCACGTGGCAGCAACTAGACACGGGAAAGACGACCTGCTCGAGTTCAGACTGCGAGTGCAGAGCACCAACACGCTGCAGGACACTGGTTCCTTCACCATCATGAGAATATTATAAATGGGGTGTTTGACATAATCAGCAGATATCAGTGTTAAAAATTTATATTGGAGAATATCGGTTTTGTTTTTTAATGACGACTTCTACACACCACGCACATCTTATACACGAGGCGTTCACTCCTGCCAGAGACCACTGCTAAACGAGTGTTCAGCACCTTTAGTTGATCTCCTTTATCTTTTGGATTCTTGTGTTTTTCAGCGACACCGTGGCTGAATAATGGAGCAGTTCGCATAAAACTAAACTCACCTTCTCAGAACCAGAAGCAAACAACTTACCTCCGCAGTCATGCAGGCGATGCGTTGTGACGAGATGTTTCCACACAGGACGTTACGACGCAGATCTGGATTCTTCTGGTCTTTCAGGTTAGAGATGCGACTTCGGAGTCGGCTTTTGTATTTCATGTCTGTTGACTTAAACTCCTGAAATATCTGTGAGAACCTACAGTTAAGAAGCACAACTAGTGATCTCTAGAAGGGGATCAATCAGGAAGGAAGACCTAAACGTCTTCTGCTTCGTCCACATACAGGATTACTGGTTAGGGTTAGGGTTAGGGTCATGTTGGCCTCTAGAAACTTCATCTAAACATTTATCACAACAAAAATAAACATGAAAACACCCAGAGGTTTATTTTGCAACACGTCTCTATACATACATCATCTAGCATGACATGCAATTAGCTGGAAGTTTTCATTTACCAAGCCACGTAATCTTTGCTCAAATGTGATAATCTGTTCCAGTCACCCTGTTTTTAAATGAAGTTGCTGTAAAATCAGTGTGTTATCAGCAAATACCAGAAACCTTAATGCATCTGGGATTTTATTTATGTCATCTGTGAACATTATGATCAATTTTGGACCTTGAACCAAACCCGGAGCTGGGTGTACAAACGTGAACATTGTGAGTTCCCTTCAGTCAATGAAAGAAAAACCCACATTGGTCACATAAATAACTTGAATCTGAAAATTTTAATAAATAAAATTCTATGAAATTTAACCAATTAAACTCAGACATTGTTTTTCAACCATGCTTAGACAATTATTTAAAAAAAGGGACATGTTCATTCAATGTGTGTCCACTAATTACCATGACAGATGTCTACAATCGTGTAATCAGTCAGTGAGCCTATATATAGGGCTCCAGGTAGTCACTGTGTTGTTGGGACACATGGTGTGTACCACCACTCAACATGGAGCAGAGGAAGTGACATTATTCAGAAACTTCAGATCCATGGGGCCGTGGCCAACCTCCCTGGATGTGGCTGCAGGAGGAAAATCGATGACAAATCAAAGAGATGGATAATCCGAATGGTAACGAACAAGCCCAGAAAAACTTCTGAAGAGGTCCAAGATGTACTTCAAGCTCAATGAACATCAGTGGCAGATCGCACCATCCGCCATTGTTTGAGTCAAGGTGGACTACATGGGAGACGACCAAGGAGGACACCACTGTTGAAAACAAATCATAAAAAGACAGAATGGAATATGCCAAACTACATGTTGACAAGCCACAGAGCTTCTGGAGGAATGTCCTCTGGACAGATGAGACAAAGTTGGAACTTCTGCTGAGGCATATTAACTTTATGTCAGCGCTTGGTCTGCATTGCCAGCAGTAAGTCGAGCTTGTTTCCAGTGAGAGTTGGACTCCACCAAGGCTGGCCTTTGTCACGGATTCTGTTCAGAACTTCTATGGACAGGATTTCTAGGTGCAGCCAAGGTTTTGAGGGGATCAGTTCTGGTAGCCTAAGGATCAGGTCTCTGCTTTTTGCAGATGATGTGGTCCTGTTGGCTTCACTGGACGGTGATCTCCAACTTTCACTGGAGCGGTTTGCAGCCGAGTGTGAAGCAGCTGGGATGAGAATCAGCTCCTCTAAATCTGAGACCATGGTCTTGACTTGGAAAAGGGTAGAATGCCTTCTCCGGGTCAGGGATGAGGTCCTGCCTCAAGTGGAGGAGTTTAAGTATCTCGGGGTCTTGTTCACGAGTGAGGGAAAGCTGGAGCGTGAGATCGACAGGCGGATTGGTGCTGCGTCTGCGGTGATGCGGGCGTTGTACCGGTCTGTCGTGGTGAAGAGGAAGTTGAGGCAGAAGGCAAAGCTCTTGATTTACCAGTCGATCTACGTTCCTACCCTCACCTATGGTCATGAGCTTTGGGTAGTGACCGAAAGAACAAGATCGCGGACACAAGTGGCCGAAATGACTTCTCCGCAGGATGGCTGGGCTCTCCCTTAGAGATAGGGAGAGAAGCTTGATCATCCACGAGGGGCTCTGAGTAGATCCGCTGCTCCACCACGTCGAGAGACGCCAATTGAGGGGGGGGGGGTGCTCATGCCTATCTCCAGCGGTCAATGGGCAATCAGGCAGGGTACCCTGCCAGGACAGAGCCAGTCCATCGCAGGACAACACAGAGACACACAGGACAAACAATCATACACACACATTCACACCTAAGGACAATTTAGACAGACCAATCAACCTAACAATCATGTTTTTGGACTGTGGGAGGAAGCCGGAGAACCCGGAGAGAACTCACGCATGCACAGGGAGAACATGCTAACTCCATGCAGAAAGATCCCAGGCTGGGAAGTGAACCCAGGACCTTCTTGCTGCAAGGCAACAGCTCTAACCACTGCACCACTGCGCAGCCCGGAGCTAAAACCTGCCATCTGGAAAAAGCACCCTTCAAACCCGAGACAACTGGAGCGGTTTGCTCATGAGGAGTGCGCCATTAAGGTGCAGAAGTCTCATTGACAGTTACAGGCATCGTTTGATTGCTGTGATCGCCTCAAAAAGTTGTGCAACAGAATATTAAGTTAGTGGTACCATCATTGGGCCATGAGTTTATTCTTTTTAACTATTCTGTTGACGCATGGTTTAACAGCAATGTCCGACCTTCATTGGTTAAATTTGATAGTTTTTATTTGTTAATGCTTGGACCTCTTCAGAAGTTTTTCTGGGCTCGTTAGTTACCATTCGGATTATCCATCTCTTTGATTTGTCATCGGTTTTCCTCCTGCAGCCACATCCAGGGAGGTTGGCCACGGCCCCATGGATCTGAAGTTTCTGAATAATGTCACTTCCTCTGCTCCATGTTGAGTGGTGGTACACACCATGTGTCCCAACAACACAGTGACTACCTGGAGCCCTATATATAGGCTCACTGACTGATTACACGATTGTAGACATCCGTTGTGGTAATTAGTGGACACACATTGAATGAACATGTCCCTTTTTTTAAATAATTGTCTAAGCATGGTTGAAAAGCAATGTCTGAGTTTAATTGGTTAAATTTCATAGAATTTTATGTATTATAACTTTTTTCAGATTCAAGTTATTTATGTGACCAATGTGGGTTTTTCAGCCCAGATTAGTCCAACAACATTGCTGCTATGTACTTCTACCTTACTGAATAATGTTATAGTCGGTGGTATACAGAGAGTTTGTATATCTTCTATTGGCTTTAGATTGTCTGAATTCGTATTCCATTTAGAGACTCATTAGCTTCACAAACAGTGGCTCAAGTCAAGAATGAAAGCAGCAACAATCCTTTAATCCCTCAGATGTGTGACTGAGAAAAAAGTTCAGGAGATATTTAAAGATGGAGACACCAGGCTCCGGTGGCTCCATCCGCCATGAAGCCTTCTCAAACCGAGAGGGCTTGGACTACCTTCTATTTTGGAGACAGACTGTCTAACAAACATCCTGTTAGATATGTCTGTGTTGCTGCACAGATCATGCCAAGGATATGCTCTTCGATCTGCGCTGCCAGGTTCTCACAGTCCACTCCTATGGCTTTGTGGTCATCTGGAACACAAGAGACCTCTGATTATCACTGGCTAAGTTTACTACAATAGAAGAGTTGCCTTTTTATTGATGTTCGTCTGTTCAACATGTAGAAGCTGGAGGAGGTGGGGCATTTGTTGGAGTAAAGAGTTTGTGTGACATCATCGCATTCAGGTGACTGTGTGACATCATCGCATTCAGGTGACTGTGTGACATCATCGCATTCAGGTGACTGTGTGACATCATCGCATTCAGGTGACTGTGTGACATCATCGCATTCAGGTGACTGTGTGACATCATCGCATTCAGGTGACTGTGTGACATCATCGCATTCAGGTGACTGTGTGACATCATCGCATTCAGGTGACTGTGTGACATCATCGCATTCAGGTGACTGTATATCACCAATCTTAAACTGATTAAATAAAAAGTAGAGCTTCACTTAATCAGAGAACACTGACTTTCCTCTAACCCTGTGATACACACATAGTAATATTAAAACCCAGCAGGACTTTTCTGCACTCCTGCTGGGTTGTTATCGTTCTGCGTACCACATGATGTAAATTTCTTTTTTGGTCAAATTAGCTTTTTTGTAATAAATGATGAACCAAATGATGGAACTCTACCAAACGTAAAGCACCATTTGAAGCTGCTTTCGAGCTGACATTTTTAATCTGGTGGATACATTTGAAAAATTGATTGATCATGCGCCCTGGCTGCTTGGACAAGGGAGATCTTTGTTTGGCTGACTGGTTAGCGCACGTGACTTTCACCCGGGAGTCTGGGGATCGAATCTGGGGACATGTAGCGTCCAGAAACGGTCCGTTTTTCATCTATATATTTGACCTACATCATCGGCGAGAACAGCTCAAACTATCTGCTGGATTCTGCTAGTCTGAAGTCCAGAACTCTGCAGCTTTGCACACAGGATAACATATCGTCAACAAACTGTTCCCGTTTGAAGGCCTTAAGCTTTCTTCTTATCGCTCCTGCAGGATTCCTCCTGCCTCTGAATAAAAGTTAACATTTTCAGCTCATGAGTTAATTAATCACACAATGAATGGACAATGTGTTAAATGAAATGTTTTGAGTAATCTGTGCCTAAGTTAATAAGGTTGAAATGAATATTGTCCTACAATGATGCATTTGACTGATAATCAGTCTATGTGACGAGCTCATCAGCCGTCCTCTCATGCACACGTGCATATGACACAAGGTTAAAGTCATTTCATGCACATAGAGATTTTCTTATCCACAAATCAGAGCACGTTCGATCTAAAAGAAGGTGTGATGTTCTGAGGGTTGTTTGTTAACACCTCTTAACATGGCACGTCTGATTGGCCACAAATCTTAATATGAGAATTATTAAAACAGAACTCACTTCCTGAGTGGTTCAGTTCAAGCTCAGTTCGAGTTCAACTAGACCTTTGGAGTGGCCAATCCTGAAGGGACTCTTTGAACCATCAAAGCTTTCGACCAGCCAAAAGCTGCCTGCAGCGACACAGAAGCTTGCTCCTTCAGCTATTCAGAAACAGCGGTTCTAGACGCAAACGATTTCCTCCATCGTTGTGACCCGGAGGCATCCGAGGACTGACTTGGTCGCATCGAGGTTTTCCTACGAGCCACGTGCAGTGAGGTCACCGACTCCTTGACATCTCCAATCCGAACGGGGGTCTCCAGAAACGGGTACGCAGGCATGACATGAAATGCATCTGATGCCGTTTTGAAAAATCAAATCTTCAGCTTCTAACAACACAAACTCTTCCACCCAGAATTCATCATTTCTTTCAGATACAAAGGTTCTGGTAAACATCACGCACCATTCCATCCACTTATATTCATCCATCACAAAGTTGTTTATAGCTTGTCATGTATATAATTAGTCTAGAAAATAAAGTCTATTTTTAATTATATCCTTGACTGTCTGAATTAATATGAAGTGGACCATGATCACTGAAAAAGCAAAGAAACCCAAATTCTTCTGATTAAACATTCAAAGATCAATCAGGTACCTGGTATCCTATATTTATATAGAATATCACATCTTATTGGCCATAAGTAAAGGTGGTATATTAAGCTTAAAAGCAACATATCACTCTACACTTCCATGGTTCTCTTATTTAAAACATTGCACAGATACTGTTACAACAAAAAAAATCTGCACCTTCCCCAACAGCAAGCCATGGATGACCAAAGACGTCAGGTTCCTTCTCAAGGCCCAAGACGAAGCTTTCAAGTATCAACAACAAAGCTCTGCCAGGTCAGAGCTGAAGAGGGGCATCAGAGAGGTCAAGGTGGCTTACAGGAGAAAGATTGAGAGCCACGTTGACAACTCAGACCCGTGACATGAGGCACATCAAAAATCAGACCAGCGCCAGCTCACCATCCAACAACAATGCCAAACTGGCTGAAGAGCTCAACAGCTTCTTTGGCTACCATGAGGTAACGATTGCTGGAACCATGACTCAAGCTCCAGCACCAACGAGCAACAGCCAGATGCTCATCCTGCAGACCGCTGGGGTACAATGTAAACTCAGAGCAAGGTTCCCACTCTTCTTTTGACATGATATTCCAGGACTTTTCCTGAACATTTAAGACTTCTTCAGCTGCTGCAGAACGGGTCGTTGTTACAACTTGGGCTGGGTGATAATATTTTCATTTCAGGATGTATTTTGAAACAGATATGATACTGTACCTATACCAGAGAGCTGGTATAGGTACAGTACTACCAGAGGGCTGTAGTTCCCCGGTGCAACGAACCAACTGGAACAGGGTCGAGCTGCAGCAAGAGTGTTCTATGTTATGGAAACACATATTACACAAACTGATAGGGAATCGATGGGAATACCAACAACATTACACGTAGGTTGACGTAAACTGCAACGGACCACAATAAAAATTCAGTACGCTAAAACAAAGTTAGACCACCAGCGGATCTCACTGATCTCACAGGGTTAGACCGGACTTCCAGAGTGTAGGGCCAGCTACTGAGAAGGTTCTGTCAGCTCCAGTTTTTGTTTAGTTCTTGGAACTTCCAGAAGTAGCTGAAACTTCTGGGTCACTAAAATCTCAGTGGGATGAACCATTGATGGATTTAAAAGCAAACAGTAAAATCTTACTCCTATAAGAACCAAAGCTAATGATGTGACTTTAAAACTGATGTAATGCGTTCTCTCCTCCATGTGCCGGTCAGTAGATGAGCTGCTGCGTTCCATACAAGCTGAAGGCGTGAGATGAAGAATGGTTGACACCAGAAAGAGTGATACAGTGGTCCAGTCTGTCAATTGGTTCATTTTTACCACAGGAAAGGGTTGCTTTACCTTTTTGCTGACAGTTTCAACCACTCCTGTGGTCTTTTTCAGAGCTAGCTTGAGAAGGAAGTAACGCCGCCATTAGCAGCGGGACAAATACACAAAAGGTGGTCCAGCCTGCTTGTTACAAACAGATGAATGTTCAAACACTTGAGCAGGAAGGTACGGCTTACCCCCAAATTCCACTACCTCCACTCCGCTACGACACGAACGCCGGAGCAAAATCGGTCCCGTTGTAGTCAATCAGAGCAATTCCACTACTGCGGCCGTGCGCCGCCCTCTGTTCCGGCGTCCGGCAAAAATAGAATAGATTCTATTTTTGCCGGACACCGGAGCACCTCCGCAGTAAATGGACAGAAATCACAACCGCCCAACAGGAAAGGGAGCAAGCACAACTTCCGTTTTTCACAATAAATCGATAAACAAAAGGCGTTTTTTGTTTCATATGCACAGGTTTAACAACTTTTAACAACTATCAATGGCGGCTGAAGTTTAAATGCACAAAAATAAGCCATAAATACAGTTTCCACTATCAAAGTAGTCACCCTGTTGATCCAAACACTGCTGATCTCTCAACACAAATGATGGCAGATTAAACAGCTCATGCCGATGCTTCTCCCACACAACGGATGTTTGGATCCAACTTCCGCGTTTATTGCTCGGACTGTATCGCAAGATCTCGAAAATCCCGCGCATGCTTGTTTGCCCCCCTCAGGTCTCCGCACCGGAGCGGAGCCGTTGTAGAGCGGGTACCAGTAAAAATTGAGTTCGGAAGCGAGCGGCTGCGGAAGGCGGGGGCGGAGCGGAGGTTGTGGAATTTGGGGGTTAACCTGACAAAACGACAGCACTAACCTGCGTTGCAAAATTGAAAGAACCATCAAGGAACATGCCAAGATCTTTCACCAGCTGAAATGCAGATGGCCAAGCAGAAAACTAACAGGGAGGCACGATTACCAAAGACCATACGAGCATCGTAGAGAAGCAAAAGTTACTTCTTATGTGCAGCTCCAGACCCAGTGAGTTCCAATGTTCGTTAAATTACTAGACGTATTTAAATATTCTCCTAATTCTACATTTCATCTCATTTTCCTTGAAGACCTTTCACTTCTCATCCAATGATTTTTCCCAATTCAAGTTTATTTATTAAGCGCCAAATCACGACAAGAGGCACTTCACACAGTAAACATCCCAATACAGGTCAGGTCATTAAGCCAGTCAGTAAAAAGTTTCCTACATAAGGAACCCAGCAGGTTGCATCGAGTCACTGACTAGTGTCAGAGTCTTTACAGCAATCCTCATACTAAGCAAGCATGCAGCGACAGTGAAGAGGAAAACTCCCTTTTAACAGGAAGAAACCTCCAGAGCAGGGGTCCTCAATTCTAATGGTCCGAGGCCGGACGGTTCTCTCTCCCTGTCTCTCCCTCCCTCCCTCCCTCTCTCTCTCTCTCTCTCTCCCTCCCCCTCTCCATTCTTTCTCTCTCTCCCTCTCTCTCTCTCCCCCTCCCTCCCTCCCTCCCTCCCTCCCTCTCTCTCTCTCTCCCTCCCTCCCTCTCTCTCACACACTGAGCGAGCGGAGCACGCCGCGCGAAAACCATCGACATACATATATGGAAAATGGGTTTCCATAGGGCTCCAATAATACATTTTTGTACTAAAAAGGGAGGTGGCCACCACCGCCATTTTGACCGTGTCACAGGTTCCGTCAAGCCCAGACAATTCCACAAAAGGGAAGAGAGGTGGAGCTGAGGGTGGGGCTGTAAGGATGGGATTAACTGACGACCCCCGGTCGAACTAGCTACAAGCTAACCTGAAGCTAACTCAAAGCTAATGTGGAGGTGTGAGCTAAGCTAACGGAGGTAGCAACCTAGCTACAACCGGAGTTAACTGTGCACAACACCAGAGCTTCTGAGTCAGAGATACGCCGGGCTGACCGCTGGGTAAAACCGGGTGGAACACAGAGGTCTCGGAGAGCTCCACAAGCCGGCAGCCGCACAGCAGACAAGCGCCGCTGCAATCTGAGATGCGCAGAGCTGCCGCTGGGGAGAACTGGGTGGGAAGGTTTCCATCCCAGAGCTCCACAAGCCGGCAGCCCGTGCAGCAGACAGAAGCAGCGATCAGACAGATGCGCCGAGCTGCGGGGAGGCAAGAACAGGTGGAAAGCATCGGTCTCCTGAGAGCTCCACAAGCCGATAGTGGGAACCCAGCTCCACCAACATGTTATATTTCAACCCATTTTCTAAAATGCAGCATTATGTTAAATGCACTGGGTTTTACCCTATTACATTTACATTTCATGGTTAAACAGTACATGTTAAAATCTAAGCTCAGCTCGGCAGTGACCTAAAATACATAAATATAATTTTACTTACCGAAAAAAATGAAGTGGAGACTCCTTGGACGCTCTATTAGTGCAATTAATGCCACAGCAAGTCATTTTGTCCAACAATTGTACAAATAATATCCAAACAAGAATACACACACACACAGAGACTCAAAATCCCGGAGCAATTTCCAGGCCAGACCGAGGCTCTACTGAGGCCTTTCCACGGAGCTAGCTCTGTGGTCACGTGGGTCTGATGCTCATTAATTATACAGAATTTTAGGCTTTTAATACACTTAAACAGAAGAGTGAGAAAAAAATTCACCCCCCTCAGAGTTGTCATGAGTGTAAACTAGATCATTTAAACCTAAAACATGTTCTGGGACCAGGCTGTAAACATGTTTATTTCTGCTGTGAAATTGGTATTTTTAACATGGGAGTCAATGAGGATTTGCTCGCTTCTGACACCAGCCCCTAGTGGATGAGGGTGGAACTGCAATTTTTGGTACTTCCGGGTTGGGACCAATTTTAGAGCCACATTGTGGCGACAACCCGCTCACTTAATTCACGGCCCAAACCCAACAGAACGGATTGGGCTGATTCAGTTCGGGTTCGGTCTCAGGTTACAACTCCAGCGCTCAGCCCTGCAGAACCACATAAAGGATCAAAGGTTCCTACCCAGTAAACGTGGAGAACACCGCTCTGACAGATCTGGATGCTGCGCTGGTGACGCCGTTAAAATAACAACTACATTCCACTATAACTGATTATGGTTCTCTTCTATGATGCAGAATCGTTTATGCCCGCATCTTGATGCATGGATTATTTTCCTCAGCTCTATCCTACACCTCCCAGTCGGCCGTCGGGGGTGGGGGTGGGGGTGCGCGCAGGGTTTGGGGGCCACAAAGAGAGGGCTCGCAGGCCGCCATTTGCGTACCACTGCTCCAGAGGATCCTGACTCAGTATAAGCAGCCATCCGCCACGACTCAAGACACGGAGTTGAAAAAATTCCTCAGATGGGAACGAAACATTTTTCAGGAAATAAAGATGTCCACAGGTCTTCTGCCTATGCCTGCTAGGAAGACCAGCTGTTTTCCTCTTGCATGTGGGAAAATTTAATAAATATGACAAAAATTCTCATCTCACCACCCGTCTGCAAAGCAGCTACCAGCAGTTCTCGACTCTTGTTCCTCACGCTGTCCGTGGTGACCGGGGCGGAAGGGAAGGAGGTGACCCGAAGGGGCAGGGTGGGAGTGGTTGGAGTTGTGGGAATGACATCCGACATCTTACTGCTGTGAAAAAGAGAGATGATCAAACACATCTGAGTGGGGGTGCACCCTTAAGTTGGAGGCAGCCTAACTGTCAAAGCTCAGATTCAGCATGTTTGTTTAGAAAGATGGAATAACTGGAAATGTGTCCAAAGGAATCCTGAACCAGTTAACTCTGGTTAACCAAACACGGGACTGGGAGGACTGGGCCAGGGCTGGTCTCACTGGAAAGCTGCTGATGCTGTGGTGACCTGGTGAGGTAATAACTGCGAGTGTGGGTGTGGCCTAAAAGAATGGAGTCTAATCTTTCTGCTTCAAAGATTTTGTCTTGAACCAACCTGTTACAGAGGAAAGCCTTTAGGAACATTTAGACCAAACATGGCAGCACTGTAAATCAAATCTGATGCTAGACCGCTTTGAGTCGCTGATGTTAGGACGGACACACACACACACACACACACGTCTCACAAGAAGGTAGTCAGAGGTGGAGGACACCAGCTGTGCTTGATAACCAACCTTTTCTCATTACTGCCCAAGTCTTTGGAGGTAGATGAAGATCTCACAGGAGAGTCTTCTCTCCTCTTCTCCTCCAGCTTCCCTTCAGCACCATCTGTCCACAAAACACAAGAACATAGTGATATGGGTCTAAGCTTTACTTTAACCTCATGCTGACTTCACCTCTGGTTGCTTTAAATAAAACGGTGAAGAATAAGAAGGTGGCCGGCTATTTGATACTGTTAAAAATCACAAAGACAACAGATGTGATGGTCCTCTTCACTGGGGAGGCTCCATGTTGGCTTTTCAATGTCAGATTTTGTCTAACTCTTACTTTCTGATACCGATATAAACCGTTCCCCGTAATAAAAAAAGAAATCCTTTAGGCTACCAACATCGCAGCTCTCCTATCACTCACGCTTAAGCTTTAAACTTTGTGTAAAATTGCAACTACTTCAATTTCAGTAACAGAAAAGATGTCATGCTGACCCGTCTCCAACAGCAGCCGAATGGCATTCTCACTGAGATGGATAATCCTGACTAATGCTCTTGACGCCCTTCGGCCAAAGATTATTATCGAGTTCACGATGGGAAAAAGTTGGATTGAGTTAATATTTCATGTAAATTCATGATAAAAAAGGATAAAAGGTTTTAGGTTTTGATCAAAGTGAGACATCAGTGTATAACAATCTTTGTTATGCTGTCTGTTCGAAACGCAACAGAGTGGACGCTCACACCTCAGACCTATCACGGATGCCGTTTCTGTTTCCTCCGCTCCTGGTGTGTTTTCGTCTTACATTTAGGCAGAAACAGGACAATAAACGGATAATGAACACGGTGATTTTGCTTTATACGTTCGTGCCTTGGAGATTATTTGTCTCTTAAGTATTGATTGGTTTATGGAAAGTTTGGGCGTGTGTTAAAGTTACCGAGTTAATAAAATGTAAGCTGCGTGAAAGCACACATGCTAAGCGGGGCTAATTGCTAAGTGTGACGCTAAGATCTGTGTATATGTCAGTCATGTATTTTTCTGTTTCTGTATATTGCATTTATGGTAATAAAACATTTATAAAGACTTTCACTGAAGAAAGGTAAGCCTTGGGTGAAGATTCTTGTGTTTGTTTTAGTTGGTCATTAGCTGCTAGTTACCCATAGCTAACCCTAACCGTCTCTACATAAGGCTTATTCCTAATTATTCACAATTTGTGCCAAGTTAAACTAAAACATCAGATCTGTCATATGTTGGCATTTTGAGAGAAAGGAGATGAGGCTAAAGAGTTTGATTTGTAATATATGCATGGTATGTAAATGTTGGGTAAGTATTCAAGTTTATTTATAAAGCGCCAAATCCCGACAAGAGTCACCACAGAGTCCCCAGACCCCCAATAAAGCAAAAAACTGCACATTCCAGGGTGGCCTTTTATTGTGGGCAGTATATTTTACACCTGTGCACTACTCATGTCAGATCAGCATCTTGATGTGGCACACCTGTGAGGTGGGAAGGATTATCTCAGCAAAGCACAAGTGCTCACTATCACACATTTAGACTGATTTGTGAACAATGTTAGAGAAATGGTGATATTGTGTATCTGGAATGAATTTTAGATCTTTAAGTCCATCTCATGAAAAATCGGAGCAGAAACAAAGGTGATGCGTTTATATTTTTGTTGAGTGTAAAACAAGAAGGCTACAAAAGGAGGGATAAAAAGAGGAAGAAGTGATCACCGACCAAAAGCCGAGCTTGGGGGCAGCAAGCGAGAAGGCTCGCTCCCGGGTTCACAGCAGCAGGTGATCAGCTGACCTTAACTCATTTACTGCCATTGACGACTAAAGTCGTCATTTTAAATCCAGCTGCCACTTTTTACCAGGGCGGGCTTGGGAACAAGAGTAAACATTACAGCTCATCTTCATCAGCTGATCTTCACCTGTGTGTGTCACAAGTCACGTGATCAGGAAGCAGAAAATCCATGAATTAGGAGATCGTTTTGGGATGCTGCTGTGAAAAAAGCTTCTGCTGCTCAACTCTGACAACGAATTGTGAAAAAAAGGAAAATGCTAGAAACACGCTGATTCATTCTGATGTAAGAAGGGAGCATGTGTTACCATGGTGACTGGGAGGGGCTTCAGGCTAGACACTTGTGGGATCGACTTTGGGGAAATTAAACTGGTATTTTCAAAGAGAGCCCATTCATGTTTATAGAGATATTATTACTCATTTTCATATTGTGATGATTCAATTTTAATAAATGGTCTTGCCCTAATATGTTGCTTATATTCTCTAACAAAGTGAATAGGAAATGAGAAAGATTTTAAAAACAGACAGCTCTCTTTTGAAAACACACACACACACACACACACACACACACACACACACACACACACACACACACACACACACACACACACACACACACACACACACACACACACACACACACACACACACACACACACACACACACACACACACACACACACACACACACACACACACACACACACACACACACACACACACACACACACACACACACACACCTACCCAGCAGCTTCTTCCACATCTTGATGAGAGCTTTAGCCAGAGTCTGAACCTCCTCATCACAGCTCTGCTTCCTCACAGCGTTCACAGACATGCCAACTCTGGTCGACTGCAACAACGTTTTCAGGAAACAAAAACAATGTGTTTACCTTTAAAGCTGCAATCTGGAGTTTTCCCACTTCAACAATTATGTACGATATCCTGGAAATCCAGGAAATCCATAAAATGTAGGACATATGCAGGGTTTGACTTGCACACAGACTTTTGGGGGAGCCCGGTGAGATTGGGGGGGACGGGGGGGGGGGACGACAATACTAATGGTATACTGAGAGTCCATATAAACAATATATATTGAAATGATCATTTATAGGGCTCCCCCCTGGTGTGCTACTTGAGGGACTATGGAGCCCAACACCCTTTTGGGGGAGCCGAGCTCGCCTGGGCTCCACTGGAATCTGGTCCCATGCGACGCATCAGGGTAAGAAGAGAAACAGATGAAGAGATGCGCCCACCATGCCTAGTGCCTACTGTACAAGCCTGTGGAGGCAGGGCTATGATCTGGGCTTGCTGCAGATGGTCAGGTCTAGGTTCAGCAACAGGATGTGCTCCAAGAATGAGGTCAGCTGACTACCTGCACATACTGAATGACCAGGTTATTCCATCTTCCCCGATGGCACGGCCATATTCCACGAGGACAATGTCAGCATTCATCAGGCTCAGAGTGAAAGAGTGGTTCAGGGAGCATGAGACATCATTTTCACACATGGATTGGCCACCACAGAGTCCAGAAGATTGAGAACCTTTGGAATATGCTGGAGAAGACTTTGTGCAGCGGTCAGACTCTACCATCATTAATAAAACACAGGATGGAGATAAATCTGGTGACATTGCAGAAGCTTTTAAATAACGCCACAGAGAATGTGTGTCGTAATCAAAGCTAAAGGTGGTCCAACATTAGCGCGTGACCTTTTTTTAGGTGGTGACTTTCTTTGGAGCCAGGTAGTGTGTGTATACATTATATGCTGTTCAGGAAATTGTATGATTCTTTCTGAATATATTGGATGAACCCTGACTATCACTATATAGAATAAAAATCTGACTATATGGATATTTGTCGAAGCTAACTCCTAATGTAGTTTATACTTTCTGGTGAGCTGCACACACAGGTACATCCAGGCATCACCTACCTGCAGAGTTTCTAGAGACATCTTCATGTTTTTTAGTTCCCTCAGCAGGTCAAGAGCACCGTCCTGTAAGCAGAATGAGCTTTATGTTCATTTATAACAGTTTCTCCCCCGTGTCCTGTCTGGCGGTGAAGCAAACAGAATTGATGTCTGAATGCTGTAACAAGCCTTACAGGTTTACTCTCAGGTGGAGCATCAAAGCGTCTGCTTTAATGTCACGCCTGATACTTAAAACTTTATTGTTTTTGAATGCTTGATACAGGGTATCTGCAGGTTGAAGGGAGCCAAATTTAGGACTTTTTAAGACCTTTTTAAGGCCACTTTGACCAAATTTAAGCAACTTTTAAAATTTTAATTTAAGCTATAATTTCCAGCTATTGCCTGGAACCGGTGCTAACCACGTCGCCATTGTTGGACAAAATGACTTGCTGTGGCATTAATTGCACTAATAGAGCGTCCAAGGAGTCTCCACTTCATTTTTTTCGGTAAGTAAAATTATATTTATGTATTTTAGGTCACTGCCGAGCTGAGCTTAGATTTTAACATGTACTGTTTAACCATGAAATGTAAATGTAATAGGGTAAAACCCAGTGCATTTAACATAATGCTGCACTTTAGAAAATGGGTTGAAATACAACATGTTGGTGGAGCTGGGTTCCCACTATCGGCTTGTGGAGCTCTCGGGAGACCTCTGTGTTCCACCCGGTTTTACCCAGCGGTCAGCCCGGCGTATCTCTGACTCAGAAGCTCTGGTGTTGTGCACAGATAACTCCGGTTGTAGCTAGGTTGCTACCTCCGTTAGCTTAGCTCCCACCTCCGCATTAGCTTTGGGTTAGCTTCAGGTTAGCTTGTAGCTAGTTCGACCGGGTGTCGTCAGTTGATCCCAGCCTTACAGCCCCACCCTCAGCTCCTCCTCTCTTCCCTTTTGTGGAATTGTCTGGGCTTGACGGAACCTGTGACACGGTCAAAATGGCGGTGGTGGCCACCTCCCATTTATCTTCAAAAACGTGTTATTGGAGCCTATGGAAACCCATTGTCCAATATTTATATGTCGATGGTCTGCACGTTGGGATGCACCATGGCAGCACCCTGTAGCAAGCCGCCATTTGCAATTCCACTGCGCACGGAACTGCGCATATTCATGTGACTAGAGGCGAGTTCACAATAAAAACGGGGTGGAACCAAGTTAGAAACTCGCAAACACGCACGAAGATGGCGGCTCCACAGGGATGGGATTTCACGATGAAACCTCTGGCTGAAAGATTTAAAACTGGTGAGGAGAAGCGAGACAGTTCTAAACGGTATAACACAGAGAGGCGTGTATGTAGTTGGAGTGATTGCTGGCGAAAGACTTCAACTGCTACCGAGATCGACGATGAAGAGCCAGAAGACTTTAGCCCCATTCCCATCTGTACCGGGTCGGCCCGGGACGGGTAGCGTAGGTTGTTTACATATCTGGGTGGCCTGGAATTTTCCCGGGCCAACCAAGGCTCATTCTCGGCCCTCTTCCCGAGGGGTACTGCTTCAGGCCGACCAGGGCCAACACACCCACTGCTGACAAGAAATTCACACCTTCCATTAGAGCAAGCCTCTGATTGGTGGGTAGAGTCAGCCCATTCACACCTTCCATTAGAGCAAGCCTCTGATTGGTGGGTAGAATCAGCCCACATGGGCTTAAGACAAGGATGTGTGGAAACAACCGGGCCAGACTGGGGCCGACTGGGGCTACCCGGCCCGGGCCGACCCGGTACAGATGGGAATGGGGCTTTTATGTGCGTGAGTCAGGCCCACTTCTTCTCCATGAGGAGCAAGAAGTATGAGGATGAGTTGGAGAAGAACTTTGAGGTGGAGTGCTGGAACCAAAGACTAATGGGCCATTCCCATCTGTACCGGGTCGGCCCGGGCCGGGTAGCCCCAGTCGGCCCCAGCCTGGCCCGGTTGATTCCACACATCCTTGCCTTAAGCCCATGTGGGCTGATTCTACCCACCAATCAGGGGCTTGCTCTAATGGAAGGTGTGAATTTGCTGTCAGCAGTGGGTGTGTTGGCGCTGGTCGGCCTGAAGCAGACCCCCTCCAGAAGAGGGCTGAGAATGAGCCTTGGTTGGCCCGGAAAAATACCAGGCCACCCAGATATGTAAACAACCTACGCTACCCGGCCCGGGCCGACCTGGTACAGATGGGAATGGCCCATTAGGGTGTTTCTCAGTGCCAAGGAACCTCGCCTTGATGCCTTGGCCCCGCCCCGGTTGCCTAGGAGATACGTCATCAGGAGCTGCCAAGACGTGTTCCAATGTTCATGTTCTACCGAGGCGTGTGTTCTCCGTTTGTTAGCCGTTTAGCTAGCTGAGCAAGGATACACGGGAGGCGTCTTGTAGCCTAGCCTTGGTCAAAAATTACCCACAATACACCGCGGTATTTTCAAAAGGATAACGAATCAGAAGCCGGCAGCTACTTCGGGGACAAATTTCAAGTTTAAAAGTAAGTCAGCTAATTTAAAATGTTTTTTTAGATCCCACGAAGTTATCTATGGTTGCTTAGTTGCAGCTTCGGTGGCTAGCGGGTTGTAACTCGCATATATATTTAATGCAACAAATATATACACAATTTTAAAAGTAAAAGGCTCGTTATAGATTTATATTGAAACGTATAAAATATAATGTTTTCTCTCGTGTCACGTGACTTTACGTGACCGCCGTGGTCACGTGATGAAAATCTGTTCCATTTAACCGTTTTCTTTGACCAAGGAAGGACAGTGTCCTCGGAAGCAAGGCGCCTGGCCTCGCAAGACATCGCCTCGCCAGGCCAGGCGCCTTGACATTGAGAAACACCCTAAGAGAAGCCACTAGTCCACCAGTAGCCAAATATCCAGTCTGCAACTCTATGGTTCCAGAGACTGACAGTGCTGGTTGTAAATATGAACATAATAAAAGTTTCTTATGTTTAAAATGGTGGTTCAGCTGTGATTTTTACTCCTTTTAGCAGATGACCGGTAGATTCTCAGCTTTTCAATTCAATTCAATTCAAAAATACTTATTAATCCCAGAGGGAAATTAAGAGTTTCAGTACACGCAATTCCGAGATCAGACATACACACCTATACATGTGTGGCCGGTTGGTTGTGTGGTTGATTTCCACCCCTGCTTAGATCCTGTCTTCATTGTTTAACTGTACTCAAAGTATGCTGGAGTGTTTGCTCTTACCCAATCAGAGCAGATGCAGCAACACCATGAATTTCACATCTGGCTCATTTAGGATACACACGGATTCGGACACATTCCCATGTACTCATCCAATAGAGATGTCACCAAATAGGGAGGGCCATGCTACAGATACAAACTAATGTCTCAGAGCATTCGAGGCCCATGTGACTGACGACCATGAGGGGTGTGGCTTCAGGGGTAACATTGTCTTGTTTGTACCCTTTTCTATACAAACCTATTTAAAACCAACCTACTCATTAAGGTGATTTGTGGAAGTGTATCAGGAACTGAGTGTTGCCGGTCTTCCTCCCCTGGAAGTAAAGAACCAGGGAAAGAAGGAACACTAGCTGGAGAGGATCCAGACAGGAAAGCAGCTTTCTACAGACCTCATTAATAACAATAATGAACTAAAACTGGAAGCTAATTACTGGGAGTCAACACTTCTGCCACACTCCACTGTTGGCTTTAGTTTTTACATTATGCTTAATTTGTCTAGTTTATTCTAATTCCGTTTCTAGGATTTCTCTGGCTGCGTGGGTTTAAAAATGCTCTTGAACACACACACACACACACACACACACACACACACACACACACACACACACACACACACACACACACACACACACACACACACACACACACCAGCACGCTTCCAGAACCTTCCCGGTTGGAGACACGGCTCATCCCCGGGTGCCGGGTGTTCTCTCACCGTGTTCTTCTTGTGCACCATCGTGTCCAGCTTTTTGGCGATGCGCTCCACCTCCTGGTGTCTGGCCATGCTTGTGTCTTCTGGCTGCTGGTCGACCTGCTCCATGAGGAGAGATAACTCTGTCCTCACCCCCAGCTGCGCCTCACTCTCGCTGGTTGCGGTGCGACACTAAAGCATCATGGGAGATGGAGTTTCTAAAAATGGAGCCTCAGTCTCTGGATGTCTGGAGAGATAACGGTGATGACCCTTCACCTCTGCTTTACATTAGCGACGGACAGGGAGAAGGTCACGTGATGTCACATGAACGTTTCCTATAGGAAGAGTCAGCACGAACACAAACGTTGAACAGGTTTTCACTCAGAAGTGAACCCCAGCATCACGAGACAGCGTGGGCTGCCAACTCTCACGCACTGAGCGCGAGACACACGCATCTGACCCTCTTCACGCGCTCTCACGCCACACCTCCAATCTCACGCTAAGCGCCTGCGCTCCCCAAACGCGCGTCACGCACAGTGTGTAGGGCTTATGAAAACCCAGATGATATTAATGATAGCATTAGCTACTGAACAACACTTAAATCATAATTTAACTGGTTTTATTTCACACATAATCCCGTCTGTATAATCCACGCCGATGTGCTTTTTCCCGCTCTGGGTGTGAGAGGGGCGGAGAGGTGAGCTCCACCTGCTGTTGATGGGACGGGCATGCCCGGTGTCGGTACAGGATCTGCTCGGGGTCCTTCGACTGCCGATGACGTCAAAGTACGGCAAACCCACTCGGACAAAATACACTAAACACCTATACTGTTGGAAAGAATTTAGCAGTTTCGTTATTAAAATAATGTTTCTTACGACGTAAGTTTGTGTTTATAGTGGTATTTGTAAAATAAAACACTATATTTTATTCATAATGTTGAACTCCTCGTTGAGCACATCCCTTGAAGGATCATAGGTATTAGCAACACCTGTGAAATTGTATTTGCAGGAAAGAAGTGTGTCCCGTTTATTGAAGTATTTTGTGTTTAGAGTTTTTGACGTTTTGTCCATGCGTAGTTCAGGTACGCTCATAGCTGCTAGCCAAAACTCTGGAGTTAAAAGTTTTCTGGCTTTACTAAAATACCTGTCTGTACTTATTTGATTGATGGTAGTTTTACTTTCTATTAGACTCCAAATGTAATCATTTGGCACGTTTCTAATTCATAATTTGTAAGAATGTAATCGGTGATATTAGCATTAGCATTCCTATGGGTTTTTCCATGTATATTAGCATTGCGCTAACCACTCGCTGCCAAATTGCAGCCTTTGCCATTAGAAAATCTTCTTTTGTCACATCGCAATTTAATTGCACATGCAGTTAATCGTTCAGCCCTAATATACATGCAGCTCTATGCTAAAAGTGTATTTTCAAAGAGGTAATGATGGATTTCTTTGTAAAAGTTGTCCATCTTTCCAACAGAAAGATTTGCCTGGACCAACGTAACCTGATAACAACGTAACCTGATAACAACGTAACGTGATTACGTAATTCCGTAAGGTTCATGTTCAGCCAATCAACTACTTTGACGTCATCGGCAGTCGACGGACCCTGAGCCGATCTTGCACCCGAGCAGATCTTGTACTGACACCGATTCTCCCAGAACCGTGAGCTGCGACTGCGCACACAGCCAAAATGACATGTGTATATATATTTTTTTTTTACTTTATTTACAATTGAACAAATACAAAGGTGGAAAGAGTACTAAAATTTCCTACTTAAGTACAAGTACCAATACTTTGATAATTTTTTACTCAAGTACAAGTAAAAGTACTTGCCAAAATTTTTCTCAAGTAAAAGTAAAAAGTGTCGTAAATAAAATGTACTCAAAGTAAAAATTACTTAGTTACATTTTTGTCAGTGAAAAGATGGTTACATCAGTGCAAAACCACAACACCAGTTCACAACACGCTTCTGTGTGTGCGCACACACACACACACACACACACACACACACACACACAGAGGTGGAAAGAGTACTAAAATTTCCTACTTAAGTACAAGTAAAAGTACTTGCCTAAATTTTTCCAAGTACAAGTAAAAGTACTTGCCTAAATTTTACTCAAGTAAAAGTAAAAAGTATCATAAATAAAATGTACTCAAAGTAAAAGTTACTTAGTTACATTTTTGTCAGCGTAAAGATGGTTACATCAGTGCAAAACCACAACACCAGTTCACAACACGCTCATGTGTGCACGCACACACATGGACACACACACACACACAGAGGTGGAAAGAGTACTAAAATGTCCTACTTAAGTACAAGTAAAAGTACTTGCCTAAATTTTTACTCAAGTAAAAGTAAAAAGTATTGTAAATAAAATGTACTCAAAGTAAAAATTACTTAGTTACATTTTTGTCAGTGTAAAGATGGTTACATCAGTGCAAAACCACAACACCAGTTCACAACACACTTCTATGTGTGCACGCACACACATGGACACACACACACACAGTTTGATGGAAGGATTTCTGTCCAGTCAGTGAGAACAGGACATGCACATTGATTGGACGAGATTTTTCTAGGATTGTATGTTTCAATTGTGATTAAAATTATTCTTTATTTTGAAAAAAAAATGTAAATTTTTAGACGCCATCAGCATGTGAGGTATCTCAATGTTCTCATAACAAAACTCTAACATGAGACTGTGCTCTAACCTGGCACTTAACACGCTAAATGAAAGTCAACCATTTCAGATGGACCGTATGACAGCTGCTAACGTTGGCCCTGCCCTACTTTACCTCTACATTACAGTTCCTTTATCCATGTCCATCCTAGAGCTCCTCTCTGACCTTCATGCTTATTTAGAGCAGCTGGTTTTTTAAGTTAGCAGAGTTCATCCTTGGTAGTGGGTTCACTCACTCAGAGGAAATTTTATAGCGCATGCAGCTAGAAAGAAAAAAGAGAGCATCAACAAGATTAAGGAATTAGAGGAGGAAATAAAAAGAAAAGAACTAGAACTGTCAAAAGGCATTTCTGATAGTAAACTTCAGGAATTATGCAAACTTAAATACTCCCTACACAGCATATATAACAAGAAAGCAGAAAATGCTTTGTATGGGCTAAAAACAAGTTATTATGAAGGAAGGGAGAAAATGGGGAAATTGTTGGCTAGACAACTAAAAGAAAAAAATAATAGTAATGCCATCCCAGTTATAAAACAGGGGGATGAAGAAATTTACACAGCTAAAGGCATAAATAATATCTTCCAGCAATATTACGAAAAATTGTACACATCTTCAATCTCGGTGGATAAGCCAAAAGAAAATATAGAAGGTTTCCTTCTGAATGTAGGTCTGCCCAGTGAAAATATATATCTCTCATATAAGCTCTTTTATATGAAAAATATATATCTCTCACATATGCTCCTTATATATTATCATAAGCACATTATTATATGCCTTTTCATGGAATCTTGCTATAATATCAAAAACCTCTCTGTGCCTTTTCTGCTCAAGCTGAACAGCTGCATGTTTTCCCCTGCACAGAAAAGGGAGTGAAAGTGCTCCTTCCTTCAGTTCCTCAATACAAGAACAACTGTCTTTGTTAGCAAAGGATGTTGCAGGATGTGTCCTGGTCATCTCAAGGTTGCATGTCCTTGGGATGAATTGGTCTTTCATTAACAAGGCTATTAGCTGACTTGTGTCTGCATGTGCAGATGGCAGAATTACGTGTGTGTGCATTCCATAATTTGTCAATAAAAATAGCTGCTGAGCAGAGAGAGGTCAGAACACTTGGGTGCAGCAGACATGAGCTAACCGCGGGGTTTAGCTGGAGCTGCAGTGTTCTCCCTCTGCAGCGGTGAAGAAGAGACTGGTCTTCTGATCATTTTGACTCCACATTCTACCAACGAAAGGTGTTTCTCTCTCCATCTGCTCCGAACCTGTATGGTCTAGAAAATAAAGACCAACACCAGGCTTAAAAGTCATGAAGCAGAGGGACTAGATTTGCCTATAACTAAGGCCGAAATTAGGAAGACGATTGCCTCCATGAAAAATGGAAAGTCACCAGGTTATGACGACTTCCTGCAGAGTACTATAAGACCTTTGCAGATATTGCTGCACCAATACTCCGTGAGGTATACCAGGAGATGTTTGACAAGGGCTGCGTAGCACCAACTTTTAACGAAGCGGTGATATCACTAATCCCCAAACCTGGTAAAGATCCAACTGACCCTTCAAGTTATAGACCCATTAGTTTGCTCAACCTTGACTGCAAAATTCTTACAAAGATACTGGCGACACGTTTACAACAGGTATTACCAAATATCATACATCCTAATCAAGTTGGGTTTATGAAAAATAGAACATCGACAGACAATGTTAGACTCCTACTACATCTGATGTGGCTCAATCCCGAGATGTTCCTATTGCTGCTCTATCTTTGGATGCTGAAAAGGCGTTTGATAGGGTGGAGTGGCAATTTTTGCTCTCCACTCTTGGTCATTTTGGTTTCACTGCTGATTTTATAAAATGGATTACAATGTCATATAAGGAACCTAAGGCTGCGGTGATGACAAAGGGGATAGTCTCCCCTTTCTTCAACCTGACTAGAGGGACTAGACAGGGATGCTCTCTGAGCCCCTTATTATTCATTATTTTCTTGGAGGTCCTAGCAGTGTCCATCAGAACGCACCAGGGAATAAAAGGAATAAGGGTAGGGGGCAATGAATATAAGTTACTGCTTTATGCGGACGACATTTTGGCAGTGTTATCCGAGCCCTCAAAGTCGCTACCACATTTAATGGATACTATACAATCTTTTTCTAAACTTTCTGGGTACTCCATTAATTGGCGTAAATCAGAGGCAATGCCCCTTTCTAAGCGATGCATTTCATCCATGGTAGAAACATTTAGATTTAAATGGACGCGTAGGGGAATGCAATATCTCGGTATTAACCTCTCTGAGGATATAGACGAGATAATAGCATTGAATTTCAACCCCCTGCTTCAAAGGCTAAAAACAGATCTTGATAAATGGTCAAAACTAAAATTGAGTCTGATGGGAAAAAGTAATACTATAAAGATGATAGTTGCCCCACAAATTACATACGTTATAATGATGTTGCCAATTAAGATTCCACCTGCCATCTTTAGACAACTAGATGATGTAATTAAAACATTTTTTATGGAATGGGAAAAAACCAAGACTGAAATTAAGGAAATGATGTGCACATAGGAAGAAAGGAGGGCTGGGTTTGCCAGACCTGAGACTGTATTATCTAGCATTTGAGATGACAAAAATAGCAAGGTATTGGCAAACAATAACAGATAAACCAGGGTGGATGGAGGTGGAGGAAAAGATATGTTTACCTTTTCAACCTTCAGCGATACTAGCACAAAGGTCTAATATTACTAATCCAGTACTTTTACATTCAAAGGATGTATGGAACAAAGTCCATAGACTGTTAAACCTCAAACATACTCAGCAGAAATATTCCCCATTATGGTATAATCCCAAGGTCTGTATACGGAAGAAACCTGTTTACTGGAAAGAGTGGCAAGTGAAAGGATTAAATACTATTGGAGATCTGTTTAAGGACGGGGCGTTTCTGTCATATGCTGAACTAGTGCAAGAGTTTAACTTAGAGGGCAGGGGTCACTTTTGGAAGTTCTTGCAAATGAGAAGTTGTATTACCTCGCAGCCATATAATATTGAAGACAACACGGTAACTGAGTATATGAAACTTC